CAACTTTCTGTAGGCTCTGGTAAGACAACTCTCCTAAATGCTCTGTCGGGGCGGATGTCCCTGGCCAGTGGGAGAGTGGAGATAAATTCGGTTCCCCTGAGCAAGAGGCTGAAGAGAAAGATGAGCTACGTCCAGCAGACTGACGTGTTCTTCCCCAACCTAACACTCAGAGAGACACTGAGGGTGAGCAGAGCTGCAAGAGTGAGAGAGAGAGAGTGAGACAACATAACTGTGTTGGCATAGCAAAGGTGGAACTTATAGTGTTGGCAGTAGAAAACATATAGCTATCGTATTCTGCTCAGAAAAGTATAGACACGATTTCCTTCCTCTCAGTTTTGCACTAATTTTGTGCTCATGCAAACACCAACAAGGCCGCGAGGCAAAGGCAAAGCAAACAAGTCAACTACATACATTTTTTCACTGACGTTTCACACTTTAGTAGTACTTTCATTCGTGTCTTTGCAGTATTCAGCACTCATCAGGCTCCCTTCCACTTTCTCTTTTCGTCAAAAACTGGACAAGGTAACCAGGCCACTCCCATCTTGTCCATGTGTGTATTGTCTGTATTGTGTGAAGGTTGAGGAGATTATTACAACACTTCGTCTGCAAGACTGTGCCAACACATGTACGTATGTTGCTTTAAACATTATACAACCACAAGTGCTGCGCTCCTGGTAGCCTTTATAAACTCGTGATGCCAGAGAGAGAAGTTGCGGTATGCTCTGCTGATGAGGGCCAACAAGCCCGAAACAGCTGTCCAGAGCTCGGAATCTTTTTTCTCTTGGCATCACATGGTCTCTAATACCTTCATGAAGTGATGGTAACTGTGTATTGACTGTGTACATTAGGTATAGGTAATGTGGAGGAAAGGGGATTGTCGGGAGGGGAGATCAAGAGAGCAAACATCGGCTGCGAACTGCTCACCAGTCCTTCTCTCCTCCTCCTTGATGTAAGACAACCACCTTTAAGGAAATTTCACTACAACCACTATAAAACTCAGCATTAAGTTGAAGATCATAATGGTCAAATCTAACAACCAACTATAAAGAGAGATTGTAACAGCACATTAGCCGATGCGCAATAACTCACCAGATCTCCCTGTAGCAAATTCGCAATAACGTTTGAGTTTTGTGCATACACTTGAAGAGAGGCTGGGAAGATAGAGTCTGAAAGCTATAGTTTCATCAAAAATCATAACATTTCAGAGTGATGATAATATTTCGTGTGTCCAGGAGCCAACATCAGGTCTGGACAGTACAAGTGCCCTGCAGCTGCTGGACTCTGTTGAGAGAGCAACTGGCAATGAGAGAGAACAAGACCATCGTCATGTCCATACATCAACCTTCCTCCCAGGTCTCCTACAACTCTATTGTCATTCTATCATCTGAAGTATTGGTATTATACTGGTGTTGAGCGTAATATATGCCAGTACTTTTTTTTGCTGCTACAAGATTTTGGTATTTGTCATAATATAAAGCAACTTTGCCCATTCTTTAAGGGAATGTGGCAGTATATAAGGGCTAAGTGTTACATCCTTGCACTGGGCCCTATTGAAGTTTAGCCCTTATGCTGCCACAATCCCCTTCAAAAGGACTTTAGGCTAATTGCAATGTCCTTTCCCCTCCAGATGTACTACATGTTTGAGAACGTGGTGCTGCTGGCAAAGGGGAAAGTGGCCTACTTTGGAGCGGTTCGTGAGGCAATGAGCTACTTCTCCCGTGTCCGTCTGCACTGCGATCTTCTCTACAATCCCGCCGACTACATGTGTGAGTCATGGTAAAACTGTCATACTGCAAAACGGAATGAAAAGTGTTGAGCTTGTGCAAACAAATTCTCATCACACATCATTTCCACCGCCTTAAATATCAATATTGAATCTATATACCGAAGCACTATACTAGTAATGTGAATGGAAGTATGTACTATTCATGTGTATGAGCATGCAGGCTCTTGTGCAGATATCTTTCTTCAACTCTGTATTACCATGATTTCAAGTTTGGGTACGTAATGGCAACCGTGCGATATCTGTCTTCAAGTAAAGCATATAGCACGGACTGTAATGTTCAGTTGGTGTGTCTCTTTCACAGTGGATCTGGTGACAGATGATAGCAGTCGAAAGATATTGATTGGAGAGGATCCTCAACAAGACACCAGACCCAAATCACTGCAAGTGTAAAATATGGCTGTAGGCATAAATATCACCGTTTAAACGAATGCGTCAGTCTATACATAAGGGCTAATCTACTAAAGGTGGAACTTAAACAGTCTGGCCCAGTTCAAGAGGGCAACTAGGTTTCTGTTTAAGTTAAAGTTAGCCCTTATAATAATACCAACAGCTACATTACGTTTAAGTATTATGGTGTTTGCGTTTCAGGTCTAAGTGGCAAAGGGTAGTCCAGTGGTTTTGGACTCAATTTGATATCAGGAGTGAAGACAGGAGGAGGAGAAGGAGGAGGGAGAGGGGGGATGTGGAGAGTGGGAGATTTGAGATGACAGCTCCTCAGTTGAGTGGTGAGGAGGTGGGGAAGGGGGAGGGTGTGGGAGTAGGGGAGGGACAAGGTGTGAAGGAGGAGGTTGTGGAGGTGGAGGAAAGAGAAGGAGAGAAGGAGATAGAGGGAGAAGAAGCAGAAGGATTGGCAGCTGATGAGTCACCAGAAGATGAGACAAAGGATGACAGAGAAAGCATTGGATCTGGTGATTCCACAGAAACAGTGTAAGTTGCCTAATCCCCTTCTGTATGGTGTGTAGCTTGTTAGCAATAGTGCTGATATAGACTTCGGTTAAATTTATCAATTGCTCTATATAGCAATCTTTTATCTATCTAGCTGGTCCATTGGCAAGCAAATTCCATGCTCACTTGTCCACTTTCTCTCCCTCTCTCCCTCCCCTCCTATCCAGAGACACGGGGAAATGGCCGACGTCCTGGTGGTGGCAGGTGGCGGTTCTGACAGTCAGGAACTTCAGACAGTCACGACACACCATCATCTCCAAGACCAACCTCTTCCTCACGGCCGCTCTCTGCATTGTTTGCTCCCTTGTCTGGTTCCAGGTACAATCTCCACCAGTCTTCTCTCTTCTCTTCTCTTCTCTTTCTTTCTGGCCCAGATAGAGATTTCTTTACCAGAGATTAGCTGCACATCTCGCTCTTGATATCATGTAAAGTAGGCTGGTAATCCCGTGAACATCGCCATTCTCGTTTCGTTTTACTGGTTCATAATATATAATTGTGTCAAAAGTCCTTCCTTAGTACGGAGATGTAAACCATAGTCAGTTACAAAATGCATAGGTTGTTGTTGAAACTAACAGAACTGTAGCTGTGCAATGCAAATCAGATGTGCTGAACTTGTTCACCCCACTTGATCTTGTGCTCCATTCTATGCTATGACCCATCGCCAGCATCGTGACTGTTCATGGTGTCTGTTCAGATTCCCAGGACTGAAGAGAGCATCTCGGATCGAACAGGGTTCATCTATTTCACACTCACCTTCTGGAGTTTTGACATCATGTTTACTGCTCTCTTTGCCTGTGAGTCTTATCTCTCTCCCTATAAGGCAACACTATTAACTTATGTTTTTCAATACTCATTTTACCGCACAGATTTGTTACTCTTGTCAATGAACATTAAAGTGTTCTTTTATCCACTTGCTTATCTATACAAAAATTACCTCATAGCCGGAAATATTTTGACAAGACATTACTGATAATTTTTTGGTGATTTTGCCTCAAAAGGTTGCATAAGATACGGATGAAATTTAAATTGCATGTTGCCACTGACACTGGTGATTCTATGGATGACTATCATAATGACTCAGACTGGTTGATTTTCATGATTTCATTATTTCATTCCCATATCGCCTATAATATTATAAGTGTGCGTTTCCCCATAATATTCTCGTGCAACGCCAGGCCAAGCAAGACAGATATCTTTAAAACCGCCAATATTTTTGTTATAATATCACTGATTAGTTATTCTGATGCCCTGTCAACCACAGTCCCAGCAGAGAGAGTGGTGATAAACAGAGAGAGATCCAACGGAGCCTACCGTCTGTCGGCCTACTACCTTGCCAAGACTTTCAGCGAGCTCCCGCTCATTCTAGTGAGACCGTCCATCTTCATCATCGTCACCTACTGGACCGTGGGAATGAATGGAGTCACCAGCTTCTTTGGATTCTGGTTCTTTATCCTTCACATGTCCTTTCTCACTCAGGTAGTTTAATGTATGCTTGCTGAACCGTTTAGTGCATTGAGCAAAATACCAGGCAAAGGTTTCCCTTAGCACAATTTTTATGCTTCTCTGTTCTTTCTCACACGGGTAATTAGAGAATGTCTGCGTGTGCTACTGTGTTTGCTGAACTGTTCTTTGCATGGCGTACGTAGAATACTAGTAGCATTGGTTTCCCTTAGCATAATGGCAGGATTGTGTTGGGTAAGCTAATCTGCAACCGAGTTACTCAGTTTCGTGTAGATCACTACAGGTGTAAACATGCGGTGTCTGAACATTATAGTAGATCTCAGGAGTTAATCACCCACATTTAATAGTCGATATACTTACCCTTGGCTTTTATTATGTTGTACGTATCTCCACACTTTGGTTGGTGATAATAAGGTTCTCTCTGTTCTCCCTACCCTCTTTCTCTACCCCACAGAGTCTAGGACTACTGATAGGAGCCACGGTCACCAATGCCAGTGTAGCCCTCACTCTGGCAGTACTGACTGTCATATCTTGCATGCTGGTGGCCGGGTTCTTTGTGGAGCACCTGCCACACTGGCTGGGCTGGGCAAAGATCATCTCGTTTGTCACCTACGGCTACGACGCCCTGCTACGACTGGAGTTTACCCAGGACAGCAGATTCAGGTGTGTACAAAGGACGTGCTTTCTAGGGATACATACATGGCTGAAACTGTCTGCAGGCATACACATAATATAGCTGAAACTGCCTAAAGAATGCATGATACGCAGTTGGCTCCCATAGCATACTTCCAAGGAAAAATACTTTTCTCTAACTTTAGTGGTGAATAGGCAATGGTAGTGTTGCAAAACTGAAGCCTGATCACATGCAGAGATTGGCATATACATGGCTCTGGAACTGTGACGTTTTCTCATTCAAAAAGTGTCCCTATCTTTAGTGTTTGTTAGCAGAATAGTTCCACACTCATAAGAATTAAACAGAACATGCTCGTAGAAGAAACAAAAAGGAGAAAGGAGGACCATACTCATGCATTCTCTCTCTCACACACACCCTCTCTCTGTCTCCCACTGCAGTTGTAGTGAAGGAGCCTCCAGCTACGCCTCATGTAACACCACCTCACCGACTGACTCTAGCAATGAGACGACTGCCATATCTGGACCTGATATCCTGCAGGAATTGGGAGGGGCTTACCCACTGCACGTCTGTTTCCTGGCAATACTGGTGTTTGCTCTGGTCTTTAGGACACTGACCTATCTCTCACTCAGGTTTCTCCACAGACCTTAAATCAAGCCAGTGTGCGATATTAAAGTTGTGTGTGTTTTCATCATTCGCACAAGGGATGAAGTTTTAGAGAATTGTTGTTTAAAGTTAAGTGACACGGATCTCTTAATGGGCTAGGCTATGCTGTTGATATACACGTGGTCTCTCGCTAGCACTCTGAGAGTCTGACACTAGTACTGGTAAGCTATACTAATAGATAGCATGTTAGGCATCGCGAGATTTGACACAAGATTAATTTTGTTGTGTGGCAAATGTTTTTGATTGCCGAGCGCGTTAGCGTGAGGCAACTAACTACTCCGGGTTGTATTCTCGCGATATGCGTACGTGCGTGTCGTCACGCTTAAGAATGTCAATTAGTCACGCTTAGGAAGTGTAACTTCCGTCATTCTTCCGCCGTGGGCGCAGATTCGTATAGGAAGTCTGGCTTCGCGCGCAGTCAGTAGAGCGCGTGCACGAGCGGCCTCAGTTGACGCATTGGCTGGCAGGCGCGAGGAAAAATATGCGCGTGCGCATTCCTAGTATGTAAGTGACTTCCATAAAAGTGACTTCCATAAAAAAGTAAACAGGTTTATATATATAAGTAAAAAACAGGGGTAAATAACTACAGTGGATAAATAAGGATATCCACAAGAAAAAGAGTTATTTCGTGTATACAGTCTTACATGAAGTAAACCGTAAAAATATTTCAGATATCCCATAGGTTTTGGGCAGGGTTGCTGGGATTGGCAATCTGCCTCAGAACTTGCACTCGTTGCGACACTACCGGACGCCAGTAGTCTTTCTTCAGGCACGTCACAATTTCCCTGACTCTGGGCTGACTGCTAAGACTCCTCCAGGTTTCCTCGGAAACGTTTCCGTTGGCAAGGCACTCATCGATGGCCTTTTTCAACATTTTGTCGATATCGACGTGATCTTTCCAGTTCTCCATCTTTGGTACCATTTCAAAGTTATCAAACTTACTGCAGCATTCTCGTACGATCCCAATGTCGGCTTTTGTCAGTTCCTTTCCGTCAACTTTAATGAGCATGTGTTTCATTAGATCCAAACCCACCTTGTGAGCGACATGCATACCTTCGATAACTTGTCCTTTCATAAGCTGATATATTCTGAACTTTCGCTGCTGGTAATCGTTACGAAGCACAGAGGTAATTCTAGTAAGGCCTTTGCCTCTCTTGTGTTGGCAGGATTGCTGGGATTGGCAATCTGCCTCAGAACTTGCACTCGTTGTGACACTACCGGAGGCCAGTAGTCTTTCTTCAGGCACATGACTATTTCCCTGACTCTGGGCTGACTGCTAAGACTCTCCCAGGTGGCCTCGGAAACTTGTTCTTTTTCAAGGCATTCATTGATTGCTCCTTTCATTGTGTTGTCTAAGAGGACATGACTCTGGTATACTTGCTGTGGAACCAATTCAAAATTCTCAATTTTATTGCAACATTCTTGTACAACTTCAATTTCTGCTTTTGTCAGTTCACTTCCATGAACTTTAATGAGCATGTGCTTTAGTAGATCTATACTAACCTTGTGAGCTACATGCATTCCTTCAACAACCCTTCCTTTTATTTGCTGTTCTATTTTAAACCTTACTTGCTGCTCTGGGTTGTGAAGAACAGAAGTGCTTTCAAACATATTAGTGGCCTTAATTTGAGAGTCCTTTGATGCTTCCTTTATATGAAAACTTCCACATTTCCTTACATTCCCATCTGAATGTTGGAGGAAGGAAGTGAGAAAGATTGCAGCAGTGACGAACTGTGTGTCAATTTCATCTCCATTATCACTGCTTCCCCTCCCTCTTCTGCTCCCTTCACTTTCTCCCACTCGCCAAAATCTCGGTCGGTCTCTTCCGGTCGTCGGGGGTCACAATACTTCTTCTCTGGGTTGGCAGAACTCGATCCGTCTTCTCATCGGCTACAGCAGACGTCTGCTGTAATCACAGATAACGGTACCGTCAGCACGCAGAACAGACAGCACCCAATGGGATAATTCCTCCGCGCCAGCTGTATTGGCATAAAGGGGATAAATTCGGTGGGTAGACGCGGGTCAAACTGAAGGGTGTGGGGATCTGGGTAAGAATCTATATGTGTTGGGGGGGTGAAAGGTTAGAAGGTGTGCGGATAACACACTTACCCACTACCGGGTCGATAGATGTGGAAGGGCTACACTGTGAGTTCTTGGCGTATCGTTCTGATACGGACAGGGCGCGAGAGGCAACTGAGGCTCGAGGCATCACAACATCTCACGGTAGAGCGCGAGGGAAAAGAGAGACGATTGGGCAGGGAACAGCAGGCGGGTCTGACACACCAAGGGTTCAGCGCGGGGGACGACGCGTGCGTGTGGGAGGCAGGAGGGAATGGAAGCGGGTGTGTGGTGGGGGGTTGAGAAGAGATCGGTCAAGCCAGCCCGGGCGGACGGGCCCTGGGGAGGGCGGAGGGGTCACTGCCAAGGACGGCAACAGGGTGAGCAACTGGGGGGGTGAGACCTTGAAGCACATATGTCATTTCATCTTTTACTCTTGGAATCAGAGTGGTTTCTTTGGGTTTTGGAGCCAAGTGCACGCCACCTATTTTCCTTGAGTAACCTTCGCCATCAACTTCATTTAGATACCCTGTGCAGTCTCCTCCAGTTTCTGAGCTCTGGTCTGCCATTGTGCGTCCCCATTCTCCCTCTCTGTCTGCATTTCCTGTCCAACCTTGCGTTGTGCCTCCTCCAGTTTCTGAGCTCTGATCTCCCATTGTGCGTCCCCATTCTCCCTCTCTGTCTGCATTTCCTGTCCAATCTTGCGTTGTGCCTCCTCCAGTTTCTGAGCTCTGATCTCCCATGTGCGTCCCCATTCTCCCTCTCTGTCTGCATTTCCTGTCCAATCTTGCGTTGTGCCTCCTCCAGTTTCTGAGCTCTGATCTCCCATTGTGCGTCCCCATTCTCCCTCTCTGTCTGCATTTCCTGTCCAACCTTGCGTTGTGCCTCCTCCAGTTTCTGAGCTCTGATCTCCCATTGTGCGTCCCCATTCTCCCTCTCTGTCTGCATTTCCTGTCCAACCTTGCGTTGTACCTCCTCCAGTTTCTGAGCTCTGGTCTCCCATTGTGCGTCCCCATTCTCCCTCTCTGTCTGCATTTCCTGTCCAACCTTGCGTTGTGCCTCCTCCAGTTTCTGAGCTCTGATCTCCCATTGTGCGTCCCCATTCTCCCTCTCTGTCTGCATTTCCTGTCCAATCTTGCGTTGTGCCTCCTCCAGTTTCTGAGCTCTGATCTCCCATTGTGCGTCCCCATTCTCCCTCTCTGTCTGCATTTCCTGTCCAATCTTGCGTTGTGCCTCCTCCAGTTTCTGAGCTCTGATCTCCCATTGTGCGTCCCCATTCTCCCTCTCTGTCTGCATTTCCTGTCCAACCTTGCGTTGTGCCTCCTCCAGTTTCTGAGCTCTGGTCTCCCATTGTGCGTCCCCATTCTCCCTCTCTGTCTGCATTTCCTGTCCAACCTTGCGTTGTGCTCCTCCAGTTTCTGAGCTCTGGTCTCCCATTGTGCGTCCCCATTCTCCCTCTCTGTCTGCATTTCCTGTCCAACCTTGCGTTGTGCCTCCTCCAGTTTCTGAGCTCTGGTCTCCCATTGTGCGTCCCCATTCTCCCTCTCTGTCTGCATTTCCTGTCCAATCTTGCGTTGTACCTCCTCCAGTTTCTGAGCTCTGGTCTCCCATTGTGCGTCCCCATTCTCCCTCTCTGTCTGCATTTCCTGTCCAACCTTGCGTTGTGCCTCCTCCAGTTTCTGTGCTCTGGGGTCCCATCCTGCTTCCACCACATGAATTTCCAGCAAAATTCTGCCAAGAGACGGCTTTATTAGGGGCTTCAGTTGTTGTCGGCTGTGATTGAATTCCATTTAAACATCTGAGTGATTCACATGGAGGGGGTGTGGTTGTAACTGGTGACCTTTGAAATGGACTGCAATGTGTGAGTTGGTCAAAATCACAAGTCTTTTCACCTCTAACTATTGGAACCGGAGTCTCTTTGAGTTCAGGAGCTAAGCGCACGCCACCATAGCTCATTATTTTTGAGTGTCCTTTCTCTTCAGCCGCTACTGCTGCTGGAACCCATGTACAGGTCCTTCTTAGAGTCTCATTCCCTTTTCTAGCTTTTGATTGAATATCTTGTAAAATATCATCTGGGGTTGTAATGTTACTCTTCATTTGTTTTATGATACTTCCTGTTGTTCGTCCAAAAAACTGCAACTTGCATAGTTCTTTCAATCTTCCAAAAATTGGATAATACTTTGATATTTCGTCATAATTTTCAGTGAGGTCCTTTGCAAACTTGGATCCTGGGCTCTCTGGATCTTCATCTTCTATGTCATGTAGTTTGCCATCGAGTCCTTGGCGCATGGGAGATGTTCGAATTACCATCTTTACCTCTCCAATTCGGTAGTAAAGCATTGGCCCTTTCTCTGTACAACTGCATTCTATTTCATCTGCCTGAATCCAGAAACGTTGTCTCTTGTTTTTAATCTTCCCTCTCTCTTGAATGGGAGCAAGTACTTTTTTAAGATGAGGGGGGTGTAGTTTTGCCGTAAGTCCTTCACTACAATCTCTCTGCCTAAATGGTGGTTTAGCAGACACATCTGATCCAACACTAAAGCATTTCAAGAGGTAGTCCGTCTGCAGCAGAGTGTAAAGTATATCACTGTTTTCAAGAGAAGAGGACTCAAAACGGATCTGTTGAAAGGGGTGAAAAAGTTGTGAGTCGCTAGGAGGGTCCAAACTGTAGGTAATAGGGAAAATATCCTTCATTGGAATTTGGAGCACTGTATGGATGTCTACTGGAGAGATAAGACCATTTTTAGCATCCTCTACAGGAATGACAGTCACTTTGATGCCAGGATTGTTGCTATCTGATCTATTTACTTCGAATCCTTTCAGTGTAACATATGGCAGATTGCCTTCTAAATGTTCCTGCTGTATGAGCCACCCTTCTGGGGTCCTCGGACAAAGACCTGAGCACATTGTTTCTGATATATCTGACCAGGTGAGACCTTTTTCATTCAACAATGCCTCCATTGCACGCTCATGGGTGGCATCTTTTTCCTCAACAGGACATAACCATCGAATATCATTCTCATACAGCTGGTATTTCACCTCCTCGCTTGTTAACAGACAATTACTCTCATCTCTTTGCAGGTGAAGCATGAACTTGGTGTGTAGCTTCCCTGTAAAACTATTTAGCATATGTGCCTCACACACAGGTACAATTGGCATCTTCCAGAATGGACAGAAACGGCCATTGTGGAAAACTGAGCGAAAATATTCAACCAGGATATTGCTGTCCCCACTTGTGGCAAATTTTCCAGCAGCAGTAATTGCCTCAGCAGCAATGGCCAGACCAAACCGTGAGGCATAGAACTGCATCCCTGGGTGGAGGTCCACACGAGCAACACTGCAAGCTTCCTCTACACACTTGAGTGTCAGTTTTTTTAGGGCATATATCTGCTGTGAATCTCCCTCTGTTTTAGATTTTAGGTCTTTGAGAAACCACAGGGATGCATTGAAGAAACACACCATCTCTTCTGAAGGATGAGATGCACTTGGAATGAAATCAATTAAAGCATAACCTGCTTCAAAGTAGTTTAGTTTTCCTTCTTTCACTTGTTGTTGAACTGTATATTCATGCTTTCTGGTGGCATCTGTATTTATTCCTGCAATGCTCAGCTTCGGCCAGCATCTTTCGCGAAAAGGATCCAGATCTTTTTGTGAGATACCAAGAACATCTAAGAGGCCACTGAAGCAGATTTTCTGGGGAGGTCTATTTTTGACAATGTTCTTACATTCTTTAACCAGATAATTTCTTACTGAAGGATGGTATGCTAGCTGAAATACAACAAGATTACTTGTAGCTTCTAATAGGCAGCTGTGGCAATAGCCACTCCATACAGCTCTCTCAATTAAATCTAGGCCTTTTTGGACCTCACTACTGTATATTTGCGCATATCCTTGAAAAAAATGGATCGTACATTGCTCTTCGGGGTGCAGCCTTTGTATATATTCTTGTACCTCACCAAGAAAGATATCAAGAGCTTTCATAGCTGCTTTAATTCCATTTCTAAGGATTAAGGCATCTTCATTTACCACTTCAGTGAAATCAACAATATTAAGCATCTTGGGTATATCACGGTTTTTCCAAGCTTTCTGCAGCTCGCAAATATAAGAATAAACTAGTGCCTCATACTTTGCTCTCTCTTTGTGTTCAATATCACTAGTGTATTTTGTTATTTCTTTGGAAACTCTGGATAGGTGTGGGACATGAACCATAGGTTGCTCGTGAGGTGCTAGTGTCAATAACCAATTTTCTCTCCAGGGTTTCCAGGGTGAAATTTCTTGCAGGGCCTTTACTTTTGGATAATAAAACTGAAATACATCATTTTCTAAACTTGATAGCTCTTTTATTACTGAAAAAAGGAGGAGAGCTTGCTCCTGAAAACCCTGGTTTAGAAGTTCTCTTGCCACTGCCTTCATATTTGCAAGTGGCAGAGCTTCAGTTGTGTGGAGTGCAATTAGAACACAAGCCATTGATGCTTTCATGCAGCCTTCTTCTCTACTTCGTATTAGATCTAGGGCTTTAGATATCCAGTCTTCGGCATCTTTTAAAGCCAACTTTGTTGTGCATTGCTGACAGATAGGACAGGGTGAATTGATACCAATTCGAGGGGCTTTAATGGAGTAAAGGGGACAATTGTCGCAAAACTTTTGTTCACAAGAGGCACACATTATTGTAGTAGGAGATGCCTCACAATTCGCACATTCTTGGTTTGGCCCTGCTTTCATAATGCCCACCTGCACATGTGTAACTGGGACGTAGGTCATTAGACATCTTTCAATATCAGCACTCTCTACTTGGTCATCTACTGAAGTGAACAGGTTGAGCAGAAACAATTGATCATTAACAGAACTACCTGGAAATTCAAGAATTGGCACCTTATTTTCAGTGGCCTTTGAACATTGTGCACTTGTTTGTGCCACTTTAATGATGGATTGCAAGTGTTCCACCATAGATTTAATAACAGGATCTCTAGCCGTTGCTTTGGCTACTCTAGTAATTGATGACATCATATCCTCAATATTTCTTCTCCCTTGGACAATTTGGTTTGTTTTATCGGCTAAGCATTCGTTCAACATTTGCCTTAACTCTGGAATAAACGCGCTCTGAAAGCCACCAAACACTCTACTGAGATGAACATTCATCCACTGATTAAATTGATGTTTGAATTTTCCTGATACATTTACATTAGCAGGCAGATCGAGTTGTGTACAATCAGGCTTCTCTTCTGTAGCTTCAAAAGTGCCTACCTTTTTCAAAATTGCATCACTTGTGTTACTATCAGGATGAGTCTTTTGACGTAAGGCTGCTTCGTTGCAATGTACACCAAGAGTTGCCATCTTGAATCGTCACCCACACTGAAAAAAAATTAATAATACTGATCCATGTTATAGCTAAACCTATGCTAATCGCATGGCTAGTGGGACATACACTTAAGTGTGCATTCCAGGCCCAACTACATTAGAGTGTATCTCCACCTTCACTAAGGCAGGAATAATAATTGTATTGTGGCACCATCAATCAGTCATGTTTAATACCTGAATGCAAAAATTTCCCCCTCAAAATAGTTTATTGGACTGAAATTCAGGGGACGAGACATTTAAGTGTGGTCGTAATTCTTCAGTGATGTTGTGTGTGTATTGCATAACGTCGTAATAGGTATACAGCAGATGCAGGCGCTGTACAAACGTGGCCCAACTGCAGTGTCAAGCAAGGGGAGGTCCAATGTGCCCTATTAGACAAAACGGCAGAATACCTCTACACATGGCAAGGCATTGTTTGCCCTTGAAGTTTTCGTACACAGATTTTCAGTCAATAATAGCAAGAAGAAAGACCAGAAAGGTCTGTCAAGGTGTGTAGCTATGCAAACATCAACTTAAAGCCACAGAGCAATAATTAAACTCAGGACAACTTTCAAGAAAAAAGAACTGCCCTGTTAACCTATGACACTCAGCACCTATACCCTCCGTACCGGGGAAGCTCAACAGGCAGTGGCACAAATCAAACACAGGGCAACGGCAAACCTTCGCTAACTGTAAGATTAAAAATGCAACGCAACAGAATTGAAGAAACAACCCGTAAAATATCGTGAAGTAGGGTTACGGTAGTCGTTCTGTTTGTCCGTCTGTCTTATTCTGGAACTACACGTTACGAGGCGGCCCATGAGCGATACCAACGGCTTCAGAACTACGCGAGCCTGAAAACTAAAAAGGCTGAAACGACTGTGTTCCAGAGATATGGCGTGAAAACAAGCGAATTATGCACGTGTATACGAAAGACCCGGCCAGCCCCGCTACGCGCACGCGTAAGCGTCTCAGTGCCACTGGGCTTACTGCGACCTGATCCGCTCGCTCTGTGTACCTTGGGGACGCAGAAAGTCACAACGAATGGCATGTGTCGACTCCCGCATGCTCTCTACTACTGTAGCTAGCCCGTGTCAGACTCTCTGCGAGCTACTAGCAGGAGACCACGAGTAAACGCATACAAATAGCCCAGCCCATCAATTAGCAGAACCGCGCATGCGCAGTTCACCGAGGGTTATTACCGACCGGTATAATTATAATATATACCCTAGGCCCTAGAGGCGCGCATTGACGACGACCACGCACAATTAGCAGTATCGCGCATGCGTAGTTCGCCGAGGGTCATTTTTATGTGCAAGTGTGCTGTTTCTCTCGTGTGTGTACTTAAGTGGAGGGTGACTTCTGTTTTTTCTTTCTTTTCTATTATCTATATCTATGGCTAGTATGCTACAAACCAGCTTTTCATGGACATGCCTTCTTTGCAGGAGGAAGTGGGGTAGCTACTCTCGACCCACTTTATTCCAAGGTGTGGTGGATCAGGCTCCTTGTAAACATGCATGTATCAGATGTGTGACTATTGAGAATCTTATTGTGCTTATGGGGTCTGTACAAATGGAGAAATCATTTCTTCAAAATGAAGGAGGATAATAGCTATAGGGATGGCTTGAAGCACCAAAAAGGAAGAAACAAGGGGTCATTACAAAGCAAAGATGCACAAAGCTACACGACACCATCCCTATATCTTTGTTTCATTAAACTTTGCTTATGAACAATAAAATAAAGATATAGGGATGGTGTCAATATGTAGTTTTGTGTAGCTATGAGCAAACCCATTATTCATCTAGTCACATGCCTGGGGCATAGGCATTGGAGGCACCATGTGAATAACTAACTTGCCCTTGCGCAATGTCATTGTGACGTCACGTTTGGAACTCTGTCAACAAGTTTCTTTCACAAAGTAAACACAAAGGGTTGTAGGAGTCACCATGTAATTATATTTATCTGTCACGTGCCCATGAATGTGTTGAGCAAACCCATTATTCATCTTAGGACTCTAGTCACATGCCTGGGGCATAGACATTTGAGGCACCATGTGAATAACTAACTTGCCCTTGCGCAATGTCATTGTGATGTCACGTTGGAACTCTGTCAACAAGTTTCTTTCACAAAGTAAACACAAAGGGTTGTAGGAGTCACCATGTAATTATATTTATCTGTCACGTGCCCATGAATGTGTTGAGCAAACCCATTATTCATCTTAGGACTCTAGTCACATGCCTGGGGCATAGGCATTGGAGGCACCATGTGAATAACTAACTTGCCCTTGCGCAATGTCATTGTGACGTCACGTTGGAACTCTGTCAACAAGTTTCTTTCACAAAGTAAACACAAAGGGTTGTAGGAGTCACCATGTAATTATATTTATCTGTCACCTGCCCATGAATGTGTTGAGCAAACCCATTATTCATCTTAGGACTCTAGTCACATGCCTGGGGCATAGGCATTGGAGGCACCATGTGAATAACTAACTTGCCCTTGCGCAATGTCATTGTGATGTTACGTTTGGAACTCTGCTGCGCGAGTCGTCGCGGCCGGTCTTGCGAAAGTTTTGTGTTCTGAATACTTTGATCTAACCCTTCGACAAACTTTCACTTCGGTACCGGCGCCGACCATCGCCCATTCCCGAGCCTCGCGATCCGAGGCGGTGTTATCTTAGAACGGCCCTGCAACTTCCCGAGAAGTTTGGCCTTGCGTAGCTATTTTATAATTTTTACAGCAGGCGAGACAAATCCGTCGGTGGTGATCGTGTTACTGTAGCTTCATAATAATTATTTTTTAACAATCGACACACGTGTTGCATGCTAGCTAAAAATCACCAAAAGAGAGTTAAATTCGAACATACCTCTTTCTTGGCAGCTGGGAAGAGGATGTCTACAGCGCTCCTCAACGTGAATAGACTATAGTTATCCTAACGGTCCGTTATTTTATAAGAATTTCTGCCTGCGCTTTCATCATGCACTTGAGTAATTGCGTCATCCCATCCTACCAGCGCGTGCATGCCAGCCCAGACAGGAAACTGCCCTGAGATACGTAAGCCGAAAATCCGTCTGTACGGGCCTGTCCTTGTGTCCTTAGCTACGGTCACATGCCACGGCAGGTTCCAGTCTCAACGAGAACAACCCCGCGTCGGGCGCTCTGCGAGGCGTAGCTAAACAGGCAAGATGACGGACTGGTTTTCCTGTGCCATCTCACTTAGCTTACCTCGCTTCGGGAAAACCATTTAGGTATAGCAAACGGTGGTGAAAATTTTAGTGTATCCCTATCTCTTAGACAGCAGCCGATACTGCGTTTAAACCAGTAGCTACATGTTTTTTTTGATTCGTGAGTAACTATTACAACACACATTCATAGCTACGTGCTTCACCAATCACCCCACCCCCCCCCCCAACGTATATATCAGGCGGCGGGCGGGGCTCGTTGTGTTACGCGAGGCAGAACACTCCCCGCGGCCGACCACTACGATGAGCAGCACACAAGCGACTTCCCAGCATAGTGTAGTTACTGAAGAGCATATTGCTATAATAGCTAGGCGTCATTTAAATAAATGGGAGGATGTGTGTCCTTATCTCGGGCTTAAAAATGCAGAAGAAAACATCCGAAGAACACCAGGTGACTATCATGATCAAAATATGGCGATGCTGAAAATATGGAAGAGGCAGCAAGGAAATAAAGCCACCTACAGAGTTCTGATCCAAGCGGCAGAGAATGCGCTTGACAATATGTTAGCGGACCGAATACGTGAAATGATATCTGCTGGTAAGTTTGCTTTTAGCGATGTGCGCAAAATAATATCTAGTATAACATGCATCTAGAACTAAGTAAGGGTTTGTCACAAATATACAAACGGTGACGAATAACATGCCCTGTAACGTATATACGTAGCCCAGTTCTCATGCCGATCAAAGGTTTTACGCACTAGCATGCACCAAAATAATGGTTGCAGGAAAGGAGATCTTTTCGGCAGCTACACCTTTGGTATATAGTGCAGGATACTCTCGGGGTTAAAGTAAGCCAGCCTAAACATAACTGACGAAAAGTTCCAGGTAGCTACTGCGAGCGCGCTGCTCAGTGTTGTGTGCAATTTTAATTAGGCGGCAAGTGAGTGGCATGTTAGGCTTGTATAATGAGCGCTAATTGACTTCCGGTCACGGCTATATCTGCGATAATCCCAGCAGCCAGAGTGACCACACGTGAAAAATCGGCTGACCCCGCGTGGGTACTACACACTCTGATGCTAAAAGGGGGTGGTTGTATTTATTTTGTCAAAAACGTCACCTCCAAAATCTCACCAGATTTCTCTTACAATAAGTAGAAAAGTTGTTTGTTCAAAATGAAGTGGTAGTTAATAGGGATGGCTCAAAGCACCAAAAAGGAATGGATCAAGTGAGTTGTTGCTGGTGACTCCTGACTAATACTAAAATGAAAAGCACTAAAGTGCAAACCCTCGGCAGTAAACTAGTGAGTTGTAGCATCGCTGTATATGTCCATTAGATTGATCAGTGCTATCCCTATAGTGTCTACTGATTCTAATGCTTATATTTTGCCACATAGAGTCTGCTGCAGTTGATGTACAGCGTCAACATCATTTTCCATCCAAGATGTGTGTTCTCCCAATTGCAATTTCTCTGCTAGTAGTGCTAGGGGTTGTCATTTTTACAAACGGTATGAAGCAAAGGAACCCTCTACTATGTAGTGGCTATAATAATCACATGATTTAAATAACTCTATCACATGACAATGTGCAAGCCCAAACATTGCATACAAGATCATGTTCTATCTTGGTAAAATTATTGTTTTCAGTCTACTATGCATTCACACCTATTGAAAGGTATAGCTAGTAGCTAACTCAACCACAGCTGCAGCCAAATTTCAGCTTTTAGAAAGAAATTGCTTTTTTTAGTGATAATATAATGGCCTATATAATTCTCTCTTTATGACAATTTTTCTTGAAATCTAGTATATAACCCTTTCATTAAAGACATGGAAGAGAGGATACCAGCCAACATAAAAATTGAGAACCAAGTAAGTTTGCATGTTAGCATAATTATGAGTTTTCGAGCTGGTGCTAAACTTTTTCCTATAACTGTTACAGACTGCAAGTATAGCAGTGATGATTATTGGCTCAATCATATCAAACCAAGAGGTCGTCTCTCAGTCTCCAGCTGATCTGTCAAACAGTGATAGTCAAATACTGACAAAACTGGGTCTACCCCAAGGAAAATGGGACAACCTCAATGCTCTGCGGGCTCTCTATAAATATAGCACAGAGTATGATGTGTTATCTGTCCGAGTCAGTACGCCTGGAATGGAGCTGGACCGAAGCTATATACTGGAGCAGATTGAGCTTATTTTCAAAACTTCAAAAAATATAGGTTAGAACAAGTGATTAATAATCTGTCTTATTTTTATACTACATTATTGTAGTTGTTCTTCACTACTATGGGAGTAGTCAGAGGAACACTGGTGACTGGAGTTTCAGAGATGGTTTTATCACCTTCAGAGACATTGCTGATCTCTACATGAAACACAGCCGTGGACAGAAACTCGGGATTATCTCAGACTGTCATTCCTCGGGACGGTGGGTGAGTGAGTGTGCCAAGTTCCTGGATGAGCAGGGAGTGAAGCCATGTGGACACTCAGCCATGGAGAAGGGCATTCTTCTGAGGGTTGTAGCATCATGTCGGACAGGCCAAGACTCTGCCGAACTAGCATACACTCTACGAGGCATGAAACTGAAGGAAGAACTGGATGGCAGTCACCGAGACTTGTTTTACTACTTTTCTAAAGAGTTCAGTGCTCAACAGAAGGTACTTGGCGTTGATTTCACAAAACATAGGTGTGGAAAGGGAAACGAGGAAAAGTGCAATATTGCCTCAAATGCTACGTGGTCCACTGCAAGGGAAGTGACTGATGGTCGCATAAAACTAGTTCGAAGGAATGAAAATGGTCGGCCAATGTGGCAGTTTATATTGCTAGATGATGATGCACAAAAGATCAGAGACTTTTATCCAATGGCCTATCTACCACGGTATGGCACGGTTCTGAGGTCAGGAGAGGGGAAAAATCCTTCTCCAGAAGATGAAGAGTGGATGAGTAATAATTACGGTATGTTACAGACTGAAACACTCTCTCATTTAAATAACTAGGAATGCGCACGCGCATATTTTGCCTCGCCAATGCGTAAACAGTCCGACTGAGGCGCGCGCTCTACTGACTGCGCGCGAAGCCAGACATCCATCTGCGCTGCGCGCAGGGCGGAAGCTAGACTTCCTACGAATGGCGGAAGTTACCCTTCCTTTTTGTGACTAATTAACATTCCTAAGCGTGACTAATTGACGACGTACGTATGTATATACGAGAATACTAGGAATGCGCACGCGCATAATTATTTTTCCTCGCGCCTGCCAGCCACACTCCGACGACTGAGGCCGCTCGTGTGGCGCTCTACTGACTGCTCGCGAAGCCAGACTTCCTACGAATCTGCGCGCACGGCAGGAAGCCAGACTTCCTACGAATCTGCGCGCACGGCAGGAAGCGAGACTTCCTACGAATGGCGGAAGTTTACATTCTTAAGCGTGACGACACGTACGTACGCATATCGCGAGAATACAACCCGGAGTAGTTGCCTCACGCTAACGCGCTCGGCAATCATAGTGTATGGGGAATGTGCCGGATATTTCCTTAAATGTGTGCAGGAATTTCAAGCAAAATGTAAGAAATTTCCGGCACACAACTTGCTCCTGTGCAGGAACAATATATACTAGTAGGTGAATGCACTGCGAGCGGGAGCGATCTAACGATTGTGTGCATGCGCAAAAAAAGCCTGTGTAGTAACTGTAGTCGACCCTCTCTCTCCTCGGCAGACTCGGCGGCAATTCGCCTTGTCTGATAGCTTCGGATCTGTTGGAGCCTTGCCTGTTGCGTTTCCTCTGATTCCGCAGCACGTGTAGCTCTTGCTCGTACACGACTTCTCGCTAGTCGTGCTTCCCTTTCTTCCGCTGTTTCCGTGGCCAGGCGTTGCCTTGCCCGTTCCCTATCACGCAGTCGCCGTCTCTTTGCTCAGAAGTCTCACAGGCACGACGTTCTCTTCCCTTTCCTGTCGACGACGAAGGACATCTCCTCTAGACCGATCAATCGAAGAAACTATGGTTGGCTTCCTCGAGTTTCGGTGTAAAAACTTGAAATGTTTTTCGGACAAAAAAGAAGCGCGTGGACGACGTACGTACGAACGGTCGTATAATTAGAAATATCGCGCCGTTCGTACCACTAGGTTAGCTCGCTCCCGCTCGCTAACTTAGTAGGCGAATGCATGGCATTTTTGGCGAGCGGGAGCGAGCACACAATGACTCATCTGCACGAGCCATCCTACAACTTGAACCTTAGAATCACGAAGATTGGAAGGAGGTATAGACAGCCTCGGTCAGGTATCGAAGAGCGCAGCGAATGGCAGCAAATAGACGAGAGTTGTTTGGTTGGCTATTTTCGCATCGATATGACAACTATATGGGCAGCGTGTAAAATTTTGCGCGTTCCCTATCACGAAAGCTACGCTGATACAAACCAGCCTCTCTGCTCAGGAGTCTCACGGGCACGATGTTCTCTTTCCCACTCTCTTCGACGACGAAGGGCATCTTCCCCGGACTATAATGTGCACATGTATACGCACGATAGCCTCCACAGGCAGGCAGCATGTGAAATTTTGAAATCCTTTCGGATAAAAAGAAGCGCGTAATCCTGGAGCATGCGCAGTTGGACGACGTACGGTCGTAGAGAAAATCCGCGCCGTTCGTACCACTAGGTTAGCTCGCTCCCGCTCGCCAATGAAGAAACTTTAAATTCTTCCTGCACATGTAAAAAATATGGGCATTTTGCAGAAATATTTCCTATACTGTTTTATTTCTACCTGCAATTTTTGAAATTCTTCCTACACTTTTCGCAAATTCCCACACATTTTTGGCGAGCGGGAGCTAACCTAGTGGTACGAACGGCGCGGATTTTCTAAACGACCGTACGTCGTCCAACTGCGCATGCTCCAGGATTACGCGCTTCTTTTGATTTCAAAATTTCACATGCTGCCTGCCGTGCGTATACATGTGCATATAGTCCAGGGAAGATGCCCTTCGTCGTCCAAGAGAGTGGGAAAGAGAACATCGTGCCCGTGAGACTCCTGACAGAGAGACTCGTTTGTATCAGCGTCGCTTTCGTGATAGGGAACGCGCAAATTTTTACACGCTGCCTAGCTGTCATATCAATGCGAAATATAGCCAGCCAAAACAACTATCGTCTATTTGCTGGCATTCGCTGCGCTCTTCGATACCTGGCCGAGGCTGTCTATACCTCCTTCCAATCTTCGTGATTCTAAGGTTCAAATTTGTAGGATGGCTCGTGCTGATAGAATCATTCACTTCCACGACTAAGCCTTCTGAATACTAGTTGCCTTCTGGGCATGATGCATCCACTCTTAAAATTTCTTTTGTCTTTTCCAGAGCCTAAAATTAATACAGAACGTGGACAACAAGACCTGCCTGTTCAAATGGTACCATTTGCTGCAGTTATTGTCATTGGAGCAGTACTTTTCTGGGTGATATATAAATAAAATGAACTAACCTTGTATGAACCCTGCATAGATGAGTTACCTTTAAAAGCTATAGCTGACTTTTGGTGTGAGTGCCATCCATGTTTTTATGTAGCAGCTGTTGTACTAGCTATATAACAAAAATAAGTTACGAGATCTGAATGGTGTCTTATTGCCAGCCTCCACCCACGCCTATTACATAATCGATACTCCACACATGTACAACAGCATGCAACATTAAGTGGACCAGCAGCCCTACCTCAAAATAGTCCAAGCTCCAAGAAGACCAAGTTGCCTATTCGATCTCCCATAATCCAAGGCGGTGCCGCCTTACATGTAGCTATGATCTCTGCGAGTACAACAGACTGTCCTATACATTAGGCCTTACCTATACTCCTCTGCGAGACGATCATCCCTATATCCCCCTTCATCTGAAAAAATGATTTTTTCCCACTTGTTTCCACTATTTTTATATAACAGCTTATGACAACACTACATTTTATATTTTATTGTTACAGTCACTCTGATATTCATGGGTATGTTGTAGATAGGTTACCAAGGACAAACTCTAATTGTTTAAAGCTGCAGCTAATGCGCAGCTAGTGCCTGAAGCAGGAGCTAGATACCATATTCACCTCAGGTATTGTCTTCAACAAGGATGTAATTAGGTTATGGCACATGGTTGCGGTTTCATGTGCAGGCTTTGGTAATCAGGCTAGGCCCATTTGAGCGCCCTTCAGGGCTCAGGGGTGACAACAATATACAAGCTATGATGTATAATACTGGGTGACTTCCAAGTCATAAAAAAGTAAACAGGTTTATATTATAAGTAAAAACAGGGGTAAATAACTACAATGGACAAATAAAAGATATCTACAAGAAAAGTTTATTTCGTGTTCTTACACGAAGTAAAGCGTAAAAAATAAGTCAGATATCCCATAGGTTTTGGGCAGGATTGCTGGGATTGGCAATCTGCTTCAGAACTTGCACTCGTTGCGACACTACCGGAGGCCAGTAGTCTTTCTTCAGGCACATGACTATTTCCCTGACTCTGGGTTGACTGCTAAGACTCCTCCAGGTTTCCTCGGAAACGTTTCCGTTGGCAAGGCACTCGTCGATGGCCTTTTTCAACATTTTGTCGATATCGACGTGATCTTTCCAGTTCTCCATCTTTGGTACCATTTCAAAGTTATCAAACTTACTGCAGCATTCTTGTGCGATCTCAATGTCGGCTTTTGTCAGTTCCTTTCCGTCAACTTTAATGAGCATGTGTTTCATTAGATCCAAACCCACCTTGTGAGCAACATGCATACCTTCGATAACTTGTCCTTTCAATAGCTGATATTTTCTGAACTTTCGTTGCTGGTAATCGTTACGAAGCACAGAGGTATCCTTAAGGGGGTCCGGTAGGCAAAAAAACGCCATGTAATTAAAAAATCAATTTAAACTTTACAGTGCAAACCATGCATTTTAGTTTTTGTCACAACATAAGAACATGTTAGAAGTGAATTTTGAATGATTTTGTGTGTGCTAAAAGTGTTCAAATAAAACAAAATTGTGCCAAAGAGACATTTCTGATAGTTGCCGACTTGGGGCAGCTCTAGTAAAGCCATCCTATGACTTCAACCTCCAGAAAATGGCACATAGGTACCTAGAAGCATGAACTGTGATACTACATTTTACTTTTTCAAAATGTGCTCTCCACAATTTTAGGCCTTGGTGTGATATGCTTAGCAAGAATCCCCATGGTCACCCCACAACTATAACACACACATACTTCAAGTATGTGACAAACACACAATGTCATATCATAGATCTTGTGAAGTGGATTCTAATGATACCAAATTTGATATGGTTGTCTGCACATACAGATTTATAAAAATGCCCCAAACTCGAAAAGTGAGCGTTTGAGAAACAAGCCGAAGAAGAACACACACATAGAGATGACAGTACATCTGGAAAAATGAGTCTCTAGCTGGTCCTAGCACGTTTACTAGGTCCTGGGTCACAGTCAAACCCTCCAGGCACATACACTGGCCCCTCCCTCTCTTTATTCTTGTCTTCAATTCCCTTTCGCTTCTTTCTGGCCCTCTTCCTGAACGCCTTTCCGCGTTCACTCGACTTCAAAGCCGATTGTATCCCGCTTACTTCCAGTATCCGCGCTCCCTTTTTTGGTCCGTCGCTCTCACTTTCAGTTTCTGAACTGCTGACAGAACTCGGATACTCACTGGCAGTATGTGGGGAGAGGGAGAGCTTTCTCTCGCTGGCTGTAGTCAGACCGCTTTCGGCATTTGTTGAGGCGCTTCCTGTCGGCGTATCTGACGGAGTTTGCGCACTTTCTGCGTGTCTACGAGGAGGTCTACGCTTCGCCCGACGGATTGATCGCTGTTTAGTCCTTGGCATGGCGCTTGAAGTGCTGGAGAGGGCGAAAAGATGACTATCCAAGAAGCACGTGTAGGTGCGAGTTCTTGCACGCGACGATGACGTCACGTAATGCCATGGCAACGGCCGAAATTCTGCAATTTCATTGGTTGGTCCGCGTGCAACTAACGCGGAGTAGTAACCACACACAGAAGTATTTGCTTCTAGTTGCCAAACTAAGCGCATGTGCGCGTCTATAACATTACCTTTGCCGTTACAGTGCTCTTCTAATTATACGAAAAAAATTTTAACTTTGTATGTCAATGTATGGCAGAGTAGTGGTGTGTTGCATGTTGAAATCATAAATAATGGTGTCTTTTGTCCCTGAGAAAGGGAATAGCTGTTGGATATGGAGGTATATGTCTCATATATGGTCTAAAACACTAAGCTCAAGGCGCTGGCTTGGTCCTTAGGACCTTTAGGAACTTGAAGAACATGAAAAAATATTTTGCATTTTTTGGTGATTTTAGCCTACCAGACCCCCTTAAGTAAGGCCTTTGCCTTCTCTTGGTGTTCCTTTGACGCTTCCTCTATCCGATAACGTGGACATTTCTCGTACTTTCTTCTCACATTTTCGAATGGGTTTTGTAGGAAAGAAGAAAGCAAAAGTGCTGCAGCAACCAAGAGTTTACCACGGCCTTTTCCGCCATCTTCATCGTCACCCCCTCCCCCTCCCTTTCCTCCCCCTCGTCCCCCTCCCCCTCCCACACCTCCTCCACCTCCCCCACTCCGGCCTCCACCACTTGCTCCACTTCCCTGCCCCCGCTGATAAGTCCCACCTCCCCTCCCATGTGACCCGTCGACTGTAGCCAGGATTTTGTTAAGATAGGAGACGACTTGTGTGGTGGCTTCCTTCATTGATATCTCAAGTACTATCACTGTTGTAGACTGCAAGTGGATTGGCTTTGAGCTACTAAGGAGGGTTTGTTGAGCTGGTAAGACATCAGTACTTGCGTCTTTTCGTACTGCGTCCCCTGTTGGAGCAGTGAATGGATCGTCGTAACGTGGCGAAACGGTGTGATGCCCATAAGCATGTTGCCTAAGATCGTAACTCATTTCACCACTCACTCTCGGAATTGAGGCCGTCTCTTTGAGTTTTGGAGCCAAGAACACACCGCCATAGCACATTCTCATCGAATCGCCTTTCTCTTCAATCTTTACTGCTGCAGGGACCCATGTACAGGTCCTTCTTGGTACGTGGCTCCCTTTGCTGGTGATATTGCTCACGACACTCTTGAAAGCACTGAGACGCTTCTTGTTTTCTGTGATTATCAATTGCCTCAAATCGTTCTCGGTCGGAAGGGGCATCGTGGATACTATCAAGTTGTGAACCGTACGAAAGCCACGAACGGACACACTGACGTATGTTCCCTTGGTAATGCCGCCCCCTCAGCAGCTCAGTAAGCGAGTTTGTCAGTCCATCTATGCACTGCTCGTCTTTCTTACGGAGATTTTCCTGGATAAGCCTATCAATTTCGCATTGTTCTTCATAGGTTGTCGACCTGTGACCATACTGTGATTCGAACATTTCTCTCATTGCTCGAGAAAATTCTGAAACTGTGGTTGAATCTTGAGCTGCCGGCCACACTCCTACCTTCTCTCTTATTTCACTCAGCATCTGGCTGATGCGAGACTAATTTTCTCTCCTAGCATCTGCTTGGATGTCTCGTATAACACGAGGCGGAATAGAAATACCCTCTCCGTTTGCTTTGCTCTGCATGTCTTCAAGGAGCCCTCCCAGAATAATACCAAATACTTGCAACTTGCACAGTTCCCTAAGTCGCCCAAACATCGGGAAAAACTTTGAAATTTCGTCGTAGTTTTCTGTGAGGTCTTTGGCAAACTGAGATTCTGGGCTATCAGGGTCCTCATCGTCTACATCGTGTAGTTTGCCATCGAGGCCCGGAAATTGAGGTGATGTTCGAACCGCCATTTTCACTGCTCCGATGCGGCAGTACACAACTGGACCAGTCTGCGTAACGTTGTATTGTATTTCGTCTGCTTGGATCCAGAAACGACTCGTCTTGTTTCTGCAGCTTCCCCTCTCTGCAACAGGGGCGAGCACCTTTTGCAAATGGGGAGGTAGATTTGCGGTAAGCCCTTCGCTACAATCTCGTTGCTTGAAGGGTGGCTTGGCAGACACGTCCGATCCAACACTGAAGCACTTCATGAGGTAGTCAGTCTGCAGCAGTGTGTGGAGTAGATCAGTGTTTTCGAGGGAAGAGGGCTCAAATCGCAGCTGTTGAAATGGGTGAAAGCGCTGCGAGTCACTGGGAGCATCCAAACTGAAAACGATGGGGAACAGCTCCTTCTTTGGAATTTGGAGCACCGTGTGAACGTCTACTGCTGAGAAAAGACCCTTTTGGCCGCTTCTTGCAGGGATGGCATTCAGTTTAATGCAAGGATTTTCAGAACCAATATTGAATTCAAACCCTCTCAGTGTTGAAAATGGCAGATTGCCATCCAAATAGTTCAGCTGCAAGAGCCAACCATCTGGTGTTCTTGGACTAAGGACAGAGCACATCGAATCTGATACATCTGACCAGGAGAGACCCTTAGCTTGCAGCAAGGCCTCCATTGCACGCTCACGGGTGGCGTCCTTGTCTTCAACTGGACAAACCCACCGTAAATCATTCTCGTACAATTGGTACTTTATCTCCTCTGTTTTCAACAGAGGGTTACTCTGGTCTCTTTGCAGGTGGAGCATGAACTCGGCGTGCAGCCTCCCGGTTAAGATGTTTAGCAGGAGTGCCTCGCATACGGGAACAATAGGCATCTTCCAGAATGGGCTAAAGCGACCCTTTTGAATAACCGAACGAAATAGCTCAATCAGGATCTTTACGTCATCGGATGTAGCACACTTTCCTGCCGCAGTGATTGCTTCGGCAGCAATAGCAAGACCGAACCTTGAAGCATAGAACTGCATCCCTGGGTGGAGGCCTAGATGAGCAACATAGTATGCTTCCTCCACACAGTTGAGCGTCATTTTTTTCAGGGCGTAAATCTGCTGCAAACTGCCGGTTCTTTTGGACCTTAGGTCTTTCAGAAACCACAAAGATGCATTCAAGAGGCATACCATAATCTCCGAAGGATGGCATGCACTTTGGACAAAATCGATCAAGGCATATCCTGCGCCAGAGTAGCTAAGCCTTTTATCTGAACCTGTTGAAGAACAGATTTCTCATACTTCTGGTCCCAGCTTGATTTATTCCCGGAACGCAAAGTTCTGGCCAGCAGCTCTTGAGTGATGGATTTATGTCCTCTGTGCGAGTCCGAGGACGTGTAGGAGGCTGTTGAAGCAGATTTGTTGTGATGGTCTCATCTCCAGGATTTCTTCACCTACCTTTACCAAGTCGTTTATTACTGAGGATGGTTTGCTAGTTGCGATATAACAATAGGAATAGCTACTCCTGAGAGCCATTTGTTGTGGTGTCCACTCCATGTAGCTCTCTCTATGCAATCTAGGCCTTCCCGGGCATCACTGCTGCATATGCGTGCATAGCCTGGAAAAAAAGAAGGGCACATTGATCATCAGGCAACATTCTCGGCATAAATTGTCGTTTTGATTCGAGGAAGGAGTGAAGGGCTTTTATAGCTGGTTCAATGCCATTATTAGGGATAAGGGCGTCTTCATTTATCACTTCAGTTGAAGTCACAATGTTCAACATCTCGGTTACGTCTCGGCCCTCCCATGCTCTCTCAAGCTCACAAAGGGAAGAGCTAATCATTGCTTCATACTGTGCTTCTTTTTCACGTTCAACATCGAAAATTGAAGTTACGATTTCTCTACGTGCTCTAGAGAGGTCCGGCACATCAATGGTTGTTTTAGAGAGAGAAACTGACTGATCGGCTAGAAGTATAGCTTGCTGAGCTGCCAGTGTCAAAAGCCACTTTTCTCTCCAGGGTTTCCCCGGTTTATTCGAAATTTCTTGCAGGGCCTTTACTGCAGGGAGGTAAAGCTTTACGTCGCACTTAGAGCTTGCTATTTCTCTAATAACTGACAAAATGAGAAGAGCTTGCTCCTGAAACCCCTGCTTCAACAATTCCTTTGCCACGCCCCTTAATTGTGGAACTGGCAGAACGTCAGTCGTGTGGATTGCGATAAGAGCGCAAGCCATTGCTGCTTTCGTGGAGCCTTCTGCTCTACTTTGCAATAGGCTTAGAGCTTTTGCTATCCAGTCCTCGGCATCCCTTTGGGCTAATTTGGTAGTGCACTGCAGGCAGATGGGGCTGGATACACAGACTCCAATCCTAGGAGCCTTCGTAGAGTTTATTGGACATTTCTTGCAAAATTGTTGGTTGCAAGAAGTGCACCCGTGCACTAACCTTGAGGAAGATGCACAATTTGAACATCTTCTGTTTCGTTCAACCTTTAACATGCCTACATGCACATCTGTAACAGGGATATAGCTCGATAGACGTCTTACAATTATATCTTCATTATTTGCTGCATGATCATTATCTGAAACAAACAGCTTTAGCAGGAACAAAAGATCATTCATTGGACTGCCTGAGAAATCAATAATTGACACACTGGTATCAGTCACTTTTGAGGGGTGTTTGCTTGTTTTTGCAACTCTAATAATGCGTACCAAGTGTTCGGTAACATGCTTAATAGCAGGGGCTGAAGATGATACCTGGGCTGCCCTTGCAATTGAACTCATTATGTTCTCAAAGTTTACGCTAGTTTCTATCTTTCTTTTCCCTTGAACCATCTTGCTTTTTACCAACTGCGGACAGTACTCTTTTAACATTTTCTGTAGCTCTGGATGAAACGCTCTAGAAAAGCTACCGATTTGAGTATTGGTGAGACGTACATGCATCCACTGATCAAATCGCCGCTTAAACGTTTCTGACACCCTAAAACTATTTGGGAGCGCCAATCGAGTGTAATCTGCCTCACCTTCTGTACCGTCAGAAGCTATTTTCTCGTTGTAGTCTTGCCTTTTGATGCTGTCCATCAATGTAGTGTAGGCCTTGTGCAGTAGATGCCAGTCATTCACGTTGATATCGGCTTGCCTATCTGGATGTACATGACGTGCCCTCTGGCGGAAAGCCTTACTAACTTCATCAGCTGTTGCATTGATATCTAATCCGAGCACGTCATAGTAGTCGGGTAGCTTTGGCTGACTGGGATTTGGCATCGCCATGGCGAATGGTCACCTGCATGCAAAGAATATTGAATGGCACCTGGATCACATTGTGTCACTTTCGTGTAAGCTGGACTCTGTTAATTTTATTCATTAAACGCGTACTATAATACTCAGGCCATTACTATATATAGTGTGCAAAACCATATTCATCTCCTGACAGTGCAATCAATAGTCATCCATGTCCATGTACGTAACGACGAAGACAAACTCAGGCCATTGCTATAGTATGCAAAACCATATTCATCTCCTGACAGTGCAATCAATAGTCATCCATGTCCATGTACGTAACGGCGAAGACAAATCATTGGCTCTAGCTAAACCATAACAGGAACAAAGGCAATGGCTGTCTGCACTAGCGCTCATTGAACTCTTAGTACATGAAAATGGAGTCTTCATGCTCTCTCGGCGTCTGACAGGACCTTTTGTGGCCTAGCTAATAATGGCTGCATTAGCTAAGTAGCTAGCTGTATACGATGTCAGGGTTTCGCGTCGCATTGCGGGTTCCACTGACGACGTGTTGTAAACCATAAGCGTGTATATTATTGCCTAATCTAGCAGGAGGTAGTAATTACTACACAGTTAGGGCTGCGTCTCGGCCTAAGGCACGGCTATACGAGCCGGCGAGATAGGGAAAAAGTGACGCTTATGCGGGTTTTTTGTCGAAGAGCTCAGTTGAAACGGCCGCGCACCAGAGCTGAAAGCTGTAATTTCGAGCTCATTAGGTTACTAGCTCAAGAACAAGTTGCTTAATAGCTACGATTAGTCGAAATCCAGCAGGCCGCGGCCTGCGCGTAGCTATATATATTATATATAGCTATCCCTGCGAATACGCGCTGCTAGAGAAACAGCGTTCCTGTTAGTTAGGCATCCCATAGCTAGCTATCGGTTATATATGTCTTTTACAAATTATCCAATCTTAATTAGGCCTTACCGCTCTTTCCCTTTTCTGCGAGACGACCAAGCTTCAGTAACTGCGTCTCCGCTCCTGCAAAACTGCGACTTGCGCGTCTGCGCGTGCGCATAATTATATGGACGCATAAAGTATATAAATTCCATCAGACATACAGCACAGTAGCTTTAGCTCTACATCTTCATGATACGACTTATGACAACTATACTTCTATTTCTCTGGAGCAATGCCATACACGGCGGCAGTGATATCCTGGAGTGGGGCGTGGTCCCCAAACTCTGTGGCCTGGAAACTGGTAAAGGATCTCCTGTTCCCCAGGACCCAGGACCAGACTGGCCCCCAGGAGAGTCCCGTCTCCCTCCAGGTTCCCTGAGAATCCTCCCGACTTTGCTCTCAGCATACTCTGAACCACACTCAGTCGCAACAACCCTGCAGTATAATTTATTGTGCAAGCAGTAGTTTGGATGTGGTAAAATTATGCATTCCCAGGCTGTGAGAGCGCTCGGCCGCTCGCCTAGACTACAGCTATAACTATAGTGTTGTGGGTCCAAATCCCACCCAGGGCAGCTCTTATTTTCCTTGGAAAAATTAGCTGTCCTGGGTGTAGTTGGCTTGCTTTGCTTGGTATATCTTCACTTCAAGTTGTTGACACAGAGTGTGTAACACGGTGCCACCCAATGGCCTGCCAGTCTGTCATTACCAGTATATAGAGTAAAACCAAACACCACACAGCATCATATATAGCAAGGAAGCTAGAGCAAAAGTGCACAGCATGACAGTATTCGTGTGAACTGGAGTAAGCCTAAGCGTATTAGAGTACTCACCAGTAACTCCCATCTTAGCCCCATAGAACACCTTCTGCATGTTGTTGAAGTAAGAGTATAATAATATTGCTGACTAATGTTACTCAGCATGCATCTGAAGAAGGGTATTCCTTTGACTGTCTGACTGACTGACCGTAGAGTCCAGGAAGAGAGGACCTCTAAAGTAGTGTCTGAACTCCTCCACCCCTCCCTCCTCGTGGAGGATCCCGTACAATGGGATCCCCCCTCGCCTCAAGAGTTGGTTTCAGAGAGGAGATTGAGGCCGCCTCCTGTAATAATGATTATACCACAATCAGGTGGGCATAAATAGCTATGTGATGCTATCAATATGCAGCGTGATAAGTCAATGATGACCCAGTCATACATGTGAGCTAGTGAAAGCCAAATATTGATCAAGAAGTCTCCTCATTAATTTGCTCCGCAACCAGCACCATACAAAGAGAGTTTCACCCACAAAATTATGGACCTTCCGAACACTCGCATGCACAGTGAGAGGGGATGGAAGAGAAACTCATGGACGGTACTGACCTCTCTGCACAGAGATCATCCAGGTCTACGGACGACCATGATGACGGCGCCTCTCTCTCTCCACAGCTCCTCCGCCTTCACCTCTCGCCCGCTGCCGTCCAGAGCCGTCAACACCGCACCTCGCAGGCCGGCCAATGAGAACGGCTCCCGTTTAGGCCTACAAGAGGTAGATAGAGGCGTGTTTTAGAGAAGTGAATCTTCCTCCAGGGAAAATGTAGGCCTACACGGCAAGTGGTGAGTTTGCTACCAGAATGGCAGCTCCCAGAGCAGCGGCTGCCGTGCCCAGCACACTCTGCCAGGTCACCAAGCTCCACAAAGCCATTCCTCTCTCTGTCTGCTCGTTCAAACTCCCCCCACTAGATATTTAACGCATGCGTAAGAGCAGCCCCACCCCCCAACACAGCAAAGTTGTGCAAAAGTCTTCCCAACTTCAGCGGGTGAATGGTCCTTTAGAGATGTGCAACTTCCCCATCTACTGTCTGGTGCTCTTACCAGCATTGCTAACCCCATCACAAGCACAGAGGTAAAGAATTACGTATATAGCTACGCACGGTTGCACAAAGACTTCTGCAACTTTCTGTTGTCATAATAGCATGGACACGGCCGAGCTAGTAGGGGTAGCGGCTGTGTGCGGAGGAACAGCAATCATTATTCTCATCATCTGGATCGCCATCTGCTACAGCCTTTACAAGGGCGAGAGGGACTTCTGCAAACTCAAAAAGGTTAATAACCAAACTTGTGCCAAGAAAAGGGTGCATTCAATTTGACTTGGTTAGGAGCGCTGGGATGTCAATCTGGTTCTGGTGCTAACACATTTTTGGACCCATTGTAGCCTATGTATGGATTGACAAAACCAGTTCTTTCCACGTCCAATAGTCATAAAGTGTACAATGTATTTCAGAAGCTGCGTCAGAGGAGGGAACAGTATCGCAGATATAGACAAAGGCTACAGATACAGCAACTCCAGCGACGACAGAGAACCAGGGCCAGTACAAGACCATCCAGGAGCATACCCACCAGTCCTACTGATGAACCTGTGAGAATATAGCTACACTCCATGTTCATAAATATTACTCATGAATTCTCTTAGTGTAAATACTGCACTTGGAACTACAGTTATGCACCCACCAATGAAGCCCCAATCACAATAAAGTGAGAGGAGCCTGCAATTATTTACATGTGACTACAGATAATTATATACCTTTTATAAACCCCCGCTTTTGCAGAGCATGCATGGCTTGAAAAAACCACGGGTGGTCTTGTGGTCAATGCCATCCTGTGAGTTCACATCTTCTGGGAACAGCTTATCAGTGCATAATTTATTGTGCTAATATTGAAAAGTTACTGCAGCAGCATACATTGCATTATGTTAAAGGTCGAACAAGAAGCTGTGACACCGCCTCCATTACAGAGAAATGAACCTCCACCAGCAAGTACTAAACGTCCACCTCTGTCTCAGCTCTTTCCACTTTCCCCTCATCCACCACCTCCTCCTCCTTCCACATTGCCCATTCCTCTACTAGAGACAAGTACCAATGCACAACAACTGCCGTCTCCTACAAGATCTGAAGTGACGAGGGAGACTTGTAGTGAGGCTGAAAGAGATCCTAACATTGAGACACATACAGCACTGGGTGGAGACAGTAATGTCAGGAGTGAAAGTAGTGAAACATCAAATGGAGTGGGTGGAAAGCGAGTCCATTTCAGTGAATGTAGCACTGGTGGTGAGGGTGCGAAGAATAACCAGTCAACTGCAGTACCACATGTGGAAAGATGAGGGCAGATCTGATTTGCAGTACCAACCACATGATCCTGATGAGAACCAACCTACCAGCGAACACCCGGGCACAAGGTTGAATCACCATCATTGTACTGTAACACAATGCGGCTACAATACCCTAATAATACACACAGTGGAACCTCCGAGCAAGGGACACTGTGGGGCCAATTTTTGCCTTTTGTAGAGAGGTCGTCCCTATCTTGAAGGTCAATAATACACTATAGTGTTCTTTGCAGAGGAGTCATCCCTATTCCCGACGTCAAATAATATATACACTAACATTATAATTGGTTAGCATGGGGTTGAAACAAATGTCCTTTTGTAGAGAGGTCGTCCCTATCTTGGAGGGCCCCTTGTTAGAGCTTCCCCACTGTAACACTCTGGTGGCAGCCAATTAGCTCTATATACTAATAACGGGGTGGACTGTTTTAGCCACATACATTCTTGTATGTTTTCTCTGCTGCAGAAAAAGTGGAGCTAATGTGGGTCAGCACTATTCCCCAAAGTTCCTGCGAGAGGACGAGGAGGTTGATGTGACACTGGATGAGAGCAGCTCTCCTCCCAGATACAGCTGGCTGTTCACTGACACAGTGAGATTAGAGATACGAACTGTTGAGTTTATGATTGCATAACAATGCAAACTTGCTAGCCAAATAGTATAAAAAATCGAGCTACATTTCGCAGTGCTCTATTTATTAACCTCTCAATTCGACACATTCCTACATCTATAACATTAGCCATAAATTTTGACTGACTAGCATTTCACATTAATAGAACATTTTATTAGAACAGGTTTGGAAGATTTCAATGGTGTTAGCTAATTTTTAAATAGGACAATTTTTCGAGGAGTTAGGTGATGGTAAAGAGACTTCAAGACACCATAGTTTACTGTATGCCAATATTATTGCAGGGTGACCACCGGTCATCTCATGGTATCAATGTCTGGAGGACATCGTTGGTAGGAAGAAGAAGAGGAGGAAGAGCAGACGGCAGTGGGAGGGGAGATGGAGGGAGAGAGGACATGGCTGCTTTTGGACAGATCAGCACTTGGCCTCAGTTTACAATCTGATTGTTGTTTTCTTCAATTGGCAAATTAAATTAATTATGGCTATTATTACTGTGCTGTATTTTTTGAAGGTCACTCTTGACTTCTCAACTGAATGTAGCTAGCTACTGCGCACTTTTTCTTGACTTTCTCAGGCTATGCGAACCGCGGGTTATATATACGCATGCCGTATAATTATTATCCAGGGTTAGCTACTATTACCGCAAATTACCCTGGCAAATGCCAAGCTCGGCCAAGGGCCAACTTACAAGTATATGGCTGCACTCGTGAACTGGTAGACTTTGCAACCAGACCCTTCGAAGTTGATGGTGGCCCGCGCAGAGGTCGCGCCCGGCGTTGGCGCCTGTGAAATAGTAAAAGTCCTGATTGGGATGTTCGGTGTCTTGGTGGAAAAAATAACTATTACATACGTAAGTGCCTGTTAGCTACACTGCTGATTTAACTTGAGTGCGACCTGCAGTTTTGGCTCTTTTATTCCGGAGTATCGGAGAGCGTCAGCATTGACGTGGTCTCAACGTGGCACCGCCCTGGACTCCTTCATTCCTATCCTCTGCTCAACAACTCCCTCCTGCTACTCTTCTTCTGCCTCGCTCACAGGTATAGATAGAACTGTTTAGCTAGCTACTAAAGACTAGTCCTAATTGGGATTCCTACTGATGCCAGGCGCTTTCCTTTACCACTGCAATAAGTTTAGCTAGCTAAGCGCGCTCACGCTACTCTACGAGGAGGAAAAAAGCAGGAGCCGACCTATAGCACGTACGGCCGCGTCGAAATTAATGCACATGCGAGGAAAAGCTGGCCTTTAGTTTTCCTGGGGACCCACATCATCATTAACGACATAAGCTACAGCTACTACACACACAGCACCACGCATATTGGACACCTCATTGCTCACGCCGAGCTATATAATAGTTGAAAGTAAAACCGGATATGATATCCCATTTCGTGTTTCTAACCCTCGCCTGCGCGCATGCGCATCGACGGTTATTGCAGTCGGTCTGTTTGCGTGTGTGCGTCTGTGCGTCTGTCCGTCCGTCTGTCGGTAACCGCGGCAACTCTGAGCGTGAAACGTGGACATATTATGAAGTAGGAGGCATGCATGGTAAAATAGGATTCTGGAGCGGAGAAGGCCAGGGAAGCTGGTGAAACGTGTGGCTGTCGAGGTGAGTGTGCGTCAATTAGAGATCGCGCGAACGATCGCTGTGCTACGGTACAGTTGAGTAGGAGCGAGGTTGCCGGTGAAGTGACAGCAGCACACGCCCAGTGAATCCGTTCAGTGAAGGAGTCACTTATGTAGTATAGCTGGTAGCTGAAATAAGTGGTGGTTAGGTTTATGTACTGTTTCACTTTGCTGTAGTACACGTATGTGCAAAAGATTGAGGTAGTGTAGCTAGTAGCCATTGGCTGCTGAAATAAAGAATAAAGTGGCGAGGTGTGCTTTTCATTTTGCACAGCATACTAGCTCGGAAATCGATAAAGAATCTGGTCTCAATTGTTCTGCTATCTGACTCTGTCTACCGTCACTTCTACTTATTCCAGAGTTCACTCCTCATCTTTCTCATCTGCTACGGCTGGACTCCCCATGCCAACCCCACTCTTTGGGACATCCAATTCTCTCCTCTGAGAGAGGCATTGCATGGTATTTGAGCTAGATGTATGACAGAAGACTTATAAACCTCAGAGTCCATGTGCAGCAAGGGTTACTAATTTTATATCATAGCTAGCTAGCTAACCACATTTCTGCCACGTACCATGTGGGAAGCAAAGCACATTCCTAATAGAAAGATGGCAGCTGCAAGGGTTAGCTATACTCTGTGGTTGGTTTGTAAGTCTGTCTGTCTGTCTGTCTGTCTGTCCAACAAGCCAGGGAAAGAGCAATACTATACAGCTAAAGTTTTAGTATTTTAATTTTCGTAAAAAAAAAAGTTACTGCATAGCTACAATCCAATTATTATGCAAATTACTACAGGCATGTTTGTCTATGGATTTTGTTTGATGGTATCTGCAGGAGTCTGTTTCGTTGGTTTGATGATGAACATGGTAGCCTTCTTCTCGCTCCCTGTGCTAGATTTCATTGGTGTCAGGGAACCACTTGAGAAACTGACTGGAAGAAGGTCTGGAGAATTTTTACAGTACTCTATTGTGGGAAAACCTTAATGATGGTTGAGGGTGACAGGTGACTTTCAGTTACATTTTTAATGCATGGTATATATATGAGTACAGCAATATATTATTTGTAAAGAGACAAGTTTATACTTGTCCAAGCTGTTTGCATCGCCACTTCTGTAGGCTTGGCAGGGGAGAGAAAGGTGACCTGGTGACCAGTGGAGTGTACAGCATTGTCCGTCATCCAATGTATACAGGTCTTCTCACATTTTTCTGGTTCAACCCTACTATGGTATGTTAACATGTATAGGTTATACGATGGCGGCGCGTGGTTTACTGGTTTTACACGATTGGCCAGTTTTGATAGGGCACGAGGGCGTAGCCCGAGTGGTCTATCAAAACTGAAGCCACGAGTGTACAACCAGTAAACCACAAACAAAGCCATCGTATAACGTGTTTGTATGATGACATCCCGCGGTAAGGCTCTGACCAATGAGATCGCACAGAAGCTTTCAAAATGCCCTCTTTTTAACGCACACCCTCGAGTGTACGGCCGGAGAGAGCTAGCGACCGATCGGGAGCGGAGAGACAGCTGCAATAAGTGCTTTAGTTTGGTCAAGCTGGGCGGTTGTGCAGAAGCCATGGCCATTTTTTCGAGAGTTCAACGTTACAAGTACGTCACTTTTTCGCTGCTGGACTCAACGCGAGTTTTGTAGCTGCCGTTCTGGCTCGCTTTCTCTCCCGCTATACCCAGCGCTCTCGAATGCAGCCTGTTGCAGTAGAAAGAAAGCTGAAAGTCACATACTGTTCCAGTCTACGGGAGCCTACGCGTCGGGAAGCAGTTTTTAGCTAGTTTTCAGACCGCGTATATACTAGAGCAGTTTCTGGCCATTCTAGCCTGAAAACACTCCCTTCTGGTAAAGAAACAGCAGCACACAAAGAGTGTGAAAGCACCCTAATTGCATTACACGCTGCCAATTTCCTACTATCGTATAACTACCATATACCCATTGTGGTTTATGCAAATGAGTTGACATACAGCTAAAGTATGGGGAAATCGTATGGCCTCTTTATGGTATAACTACCCGTAAACTCAGCAGGAAGCGCTCACTACGCGTGTACGTTGTTTGGACTAGCTGGAATTCCTTTGATCTTACTCTCAGTCATCATACAAGCAATATTAATCTATTACTATCAATCTTAACTGCCTTTCACATAATATACGATGAATGGTACTGTCTGGCTGTTTATTCTTCTGTTACCCATTATGGATATTTTTGCTCTCTCAGGAAGTTAGTAGCTAATTTTAATTGCATGTTGTGTTTTGGTGCAGACGGTGAGTAGGTTCATGATTGCCGCAGTGCTCACAGCCTATGTGGTGATGGCTCTGCCCCTTTTCGAGGAGCCTAGTCTCGTGGCGATGTTTGGAGATAGTTACAGGGAATACCAGAAGACAACTCCAATGCTTTTACCTGTTCCATTCTATAAACAGAAGAACCAATGAGTAGCTACTCTAACATCACTGAAGCATAATTGTGACTGATATAATTATACTGTTAAGTTTATTATGGCATTTCCTGCATGCCCCTTTTTCAAACTGTTACCACACTGCAAACACTTAGTCTCACCATTATTTGACTCATAGGCAGTTATACATTCATCTGTAATCACCCTCTTCTTTCTTTGAGTCATCCCTAATCATGCAGTGAATACGTATTGTGTGCTGTTATTATAGCTACCTGCATAATGCAATTGTAAAGAAGCAGTGAGACCTCCAGTACAGAGAAAAGAACCTCCACCAGCAAGAACTAAACGTCCACCTCTGTCTCAGCTCTTTCCGCCCTCCCCTCCTCCACTACCCCCTCCTTCCACATTGCCACCATTATTATACCTCTACAAAGAAGAGGCAGAATCAGCAGTAATCTCGGGAATGAAAGTAATGACATAATAAATTTAGTTGGTGGAAAATAGTGCAGGTGCTGGTCTGGGGAGAGATGAAGCTGAATACTAGGCCTCAAACTCCAAAATTCGAGGTACTGATCAAGCGTAGGTAAGGTTGCGCATGCGCTTGGAAACCAATTACAAGTGGGTGGGGCTCCGACTCCGTGAAGACGCCGGGCAGTCAGAGCCCTGGTTAGAGAGAGCCATGGTAGCGATACGTGCATGTGCTGAATTGCTGTCGGGAGTAGTAGGGGTCCTGGTCGGAATATCAGCCATGATATACGTGAGCAGCCACCATTATTCAAACCTGTGTGATGTTGTCGAACGAGCTAGGCTTCGCGAGCGTGACTAGCTAGATACCGTACATTGTGCCTGATCAAGCCAGTACCAAAGTTTTAATGGAGATATATTGACGGGCAATGAAGGTCAGAAAATTCGAACAGTTTTCTCTGAAAATGCTCGTTGCAGAGCTAGAGCGCTTCCGCCATTGTAAGGCTAATGCTAGTCGGCCATTTTATCGCTGCGGAAAATGCGCATGCGCTTATATTTGAACAGGCTCGGGTCCGTTGCTCTGTGTATCTTGAAGGCACGAAAAGTCACAACGAAGGGCGTGTATCGACTCCCACATGCTAGTCTACTACGCCGAGGGTTTGCACTTCAGTGCTTTTCATTCTGTCTGTTACCACGTTTTCTGCCACCGTGCGCACGGAATCAGGTAAATAGCGATATGATCGGGTTCAAGTGCTATACTGGGTTGATTTTAAAAAAAGGCCCGATTTTCGTAAAAACTACTGTGTTCTAAAGTTATGGCGTGAAAACCAAGTGAACAAGCCAATATGTAAATTAGCACAGGCTTACCTCAACCGCGTCCGTTCGCTCTGTGTGTCTTGAAAGCACTACAAGTCACAACGAAGGGCATGCATCGACTCCCGCATGCTATTTACTACTGTAGCTAGCCGTACCAGACTCTCCGCGAGCTACTAGCGGGATACCACGAGTAAGGCATAAAAAGCCCAGCTCATCAATTAGTGGTACCGCACATGCGCAGTTCGCCGAGGGTTGCACTTTAGTGCTTTTCATTATATTTGGTAGCTTACAAAGATAATTGTCTGAACAGATGGGATTGTTCTATGGTGGAGGTATTGACGTAGTCTCAACGTGGCACCGTCCTGGACTCCTTCATTCCTCTCCTCTGCTCAACAACTCCCTCCTCCTACTCTTCTTCTGCCTCGCTCACAGGTAGCTATAGTTGAGACAAAAATATCTCTGTTTTAATAAACACCTAAATAACGTATATACACCTTAGGAGCATTATCCAAGGTGTCCCTTATTCAGATCGTCCTTCTTAACACTGTATACTACTTTTCTTGCATGAAGAAATGCGCCGTTCAATTTGAATAGCAATGTCGTCCACCTTTCTATAAGCAGAGGTATCAAAATAAACCCTGGCACATAACTTCTTCAAAGAACTTTCTATTCTTCACTGACATTGCTTATTAATAGCATTGGAATTACATTTTGGCAGGGACTTGAGCAAGCATGCCAAGTCGTTAGTTACCATGCCAAGGGGTTAGTTGAAACCCAGGGAAGGTGGGATGAGACTAGACGTTGACATCAAAAGTGATTCTCACTGTTAGACTTATCCATTGTCAAAAGTTGTTTCTTTGGAACCCTCCCTCAGGGAGTGTGCAACAATTATCTGTTCCTCTCGTATTGCTCATTAATTTTCCCCTCTCTCCCCCTGGCAGTGTGTTGGCGAGACAGAGTGTGAAGAGAATGATGTCGTGTCTCGTGTCGACCTCAGTCTACCGCCATCTCTACATCCTCCAGAGCTCTCTCTCCATCTTCCTCATCTGCTATGGCTGGACTCCCCTCCCCTCTCCCACTCTCTGGGATATTCACTCACCTCCCTTCAGACTGGCTCTATATGGTACTAGAATGAGTGAAGCGAGCAGTTTAATTTTTTGCGCATGTTTCGCACATAATCTTACGGCGCTGGTTGTACGTTACAGACATAGAAAATTTTTCATTCAGACGACTAGGCAGGTTCACCTCACTCGCTAATATTACTTCATCGTCAAGAGTTTAATTTTATCACGTACTGCGTAATTACTCCAAGATTATGGTAAAACAAACAACTATTGCACATTAACACTTGTGCATACTTTAGCTATTGTTAGATGTCTTGGTTTTTTGCATGCAGTAACATAGCCAAGAGTTAATATACAAGTGCCTGTTGCTAATTGCTAAAGTACTTTCCATAGGAAATTATTATTATTATGTTTGTTCGTTCACAGGAGTTTGTGTTCTTGGTTGTGTGATAAATTTCGCGGCCATCTTCTCGCTCCCTGTGCTGGAATTATATGGACTCAGCGAGCCTTGGGAGAAACTAACAGGGAGAAAGTAAGTCCATTAAAATGCCCTCTGAACATATACCATGTAACCTCCGAACAAGGGACACTATGGGACCAATGATTTTGTACTTTGTAGAGAGGTCATCCCTATCTCAGAGGTCAATAATTATGCGTAAAGCATGGAGATGACACAAGTGTCCCTGTATATAGAGAGGTCATCCTTATCTTGGAGGGTCCCTTATCAGAGGTTCCACTGTATTTATAATAATACTCTATCATGGTGCACATAATATGTTGATTGATTTCGTAGAAGAGAGAGCAGCGATCTGGTAACCACAGGATTGTATGGATTGGTCCGTCATCCACTGTATACTGGAATTCTCATCAGCATCTGGTTTCATCCTACTATGGTACATTGCAAACTTGACTTTCTGTGCACAATTGCCTCGACTCCATTGAGGAGAGAGAGGTAGCTAGCTACATGTGGTGTATATATACTAGCGGGTAGTGGCTGTTCTGCAAGAAATCGTGCTGTCTAGATGGTGTCAAAGTGAGTAAGGCAAAGATGACACTATGTTTGTGCACGATGAACTTATTATGTGAAGGTTGTGTACATTTTGTCAAAAGCATTAGGATTGAGAGGTGTTTCTTCAGAGATTTATTACTGTCTTAATCTATTGTGCTATATACAGAGTCTGGGCAGGATGATGGTGGGAGGTGTCCTGACAGTGTACCTGCTGGTGGCAGTTCCACTGTTAGAGGAGCGAGATCTGGTGGACTTGTTTGGAGACAAGTACAGACACTACATCACCACCACTCCCATGCTCCTCCCCTTCAGACTGTGGACTTCTCCTTCCCTCACTGAGAAAGACAAATCTAACTGAGCTCCCAAGATCCAACTGCAAGAAGAGAACTCTTATAATGACAACATAGCACCCAAGCAATTGAACGATGAATGTATACAGTTTTGTTGTGTTTTTCATGTCTCTCTGAACACAACACATGGTCAACATTTCCACTAGTAAATTGAGTTGGTGGAAAATAGTGCAGGTGCTAGTCTGAGGAGAGATGGAGCTGAATACTAGGCCTCCAACTCCATAATTCAGGCATTCATCGTACTGATCATGCGCGTAGGTAAAGCTAGCTGCGCAAGCGCGCTTGGAAACCAATTATTGTGGGTGGGGCTTCGACTCCGGAAGACGGCAGTCAGAGCCCTGGTTAGAGCGAGCCATGGTAGCGATACGTGCATGTGCTGAATTGCTGTCGGGAGTAGTAGGGGTCCTGGTCGGAATATCAGCCATGATATACGTGAGCAGCCACCATTATTCAAACCTGTGTGATGTTGTCGGAGGCCGGCTTCGCGAGCGTGACTATCTAGCTAGATACCGTATATACATTGTGCCTGATCAAGCCAGTAAGTACCGAAGTTTTCAAGGTTATAAAGTTATGATTTTGGTAGGCATTGGTAGCTAGCTTACAAAGATAATGTGTCTGAACAGATGGGATTGTTCTATGGTGGAGTTCTGGAGTCATTTGGTATTGACGTGGTCTCAACGTGGCACCGTCCTGGACTCCTTCATTCCTCTCCTCTGCTCAACAACTCCCTCCTCCTACTCATCTTCTGCCTCGCTCACAGGTAGAATACCATTCCTGTGGTATTAGCTAATTAGTCAGACATCCGGCGTTATGGGCTTGCTGATTAATCCTCGGCGCGCATGCGCAGCGAGGGTTACAGTAGTCGTTCTGTCTGTCGACACTTATTCTGGCACTACAGGCTATGAGGTGGCCAATGAGCGATACCAATGGGTGCAGAACTACGCGAACCCGAAAAATAAAAGAGCGTTTTTCCTGAAACGACTGCGTTCGAGAGATATGCCGTGAAAACAAGCGAAAAAATATGGGGGGAGATTAGTGTCAAAATTACGCACACCAACGTCCGTTAAATAAGATAGTCGCACTACGTACATTTGGGTACACACTTTTTTATTTTGGGTATATACCCAGTTTTTATTCTGGTACACACACTTTTTTTGGGTACCCAGTTTTCATTTGGGTATATACACTTTTTATTTGGGTACCCAGTTCTCATTTGGGTATATACACACACTTTTTTATTTTGGTACCCAGTTCTAATTCGGTATGCACACTTTTTAATTTTGGTATCCAGTCGGAATAGTCGTGGACAGACAGACACACAGACACACACACAGACCAACTACTGTAACCCTCGCTGCGCATGCACGCTGAGGGTTAAAAAATTAAATAGTGTGTGACCCAAATGAAAACTGGTGTGTACCTTGGAGGCTCAGGAAGTCACAACGAATGGCATGTATCGACTCCCGCATGCTATCTACTACCGTAGCTAGCCCGTGTCAGACTCTCCGCGCGCTACTAGCGGGAGACCACGAGTAAACGCATATATACTACTAATAGCCCAGCCCATCAATTAGCAGTATCGCGCATGCGCAGTTCGCCGAGGGTTTGCACTTTAGTGCTTTTCTTTTTTTTTTTTATGGGAATTTTGTTTTTTACACCGTTAACCCAGTATCTATCACTAGTATATTTGAAAACCTCTCTATTGTACCCCTGAATATGACAATTGCTTTAATTAACTTCGTTCGTTTATTTTGGTGGCATTAAGTACAGTTGTTCCTACCATGCAGGACTGGGTACTGGTGTTTACTGGATAGCAGCTCGTAATGCATGGTGTTGGGCTTTTTGTTGTTGTTCTCACTCCATGCTCCTGCCATTACTTTTCACTCTCATCTCTCTCCCCCTGGCAGTGTGTTGGCGAGACAGAATGTGAAGAGAGTGATGTCGTTTCTCGTGTCAACCTCAGTCTACCGCCATCTCTACTTCCTCCAGAGCTCTCTCTCCATCTTCCTCATCTGCTACGGCTGGACTCCCCTCCCCTCTCCCACTCTCTGGGATATTCACTCACCTCTCTTCAGACTGGCTCTATATGGTCTGTGTAATATCATCAGTTAGTTTTGTATGACGTTTGAGCTCAAAGCAATGTAATAATAACATATTGCATAATTATGTCCTTGAATAAAGTTGTATCTGTACTGCCTACTCCAGCTATAAATGTTAAACTATTATTCACTGGTAATATATAATCCAAGACCTTTCTCATATCACCATCAATGCTAGTCATACACATACATAGAGCTGTACTTTCCGCCGACAACACACACAAAGCGTTGATTGAATTTTCTCTGTTTTGAAGTAAGCATGTGTGGAGTACACATTCGACTGTACTGAACCTTCTCTATCTCATTGATGCTGTGTCTACAGGAGTCGGTTCACTTGGTGTGGTGATTAATATGGTGGCCTTCTTGTCTCTTCCTGTGCTGGAGTTCATTGGCATCAGTGAACCTCTGGAGAGACTGACTGGGAGAAAGTATGTATTAATATAATGTGTGTATTACTTGGTGTTGATGTATTGTATATAGGAGAGAGGGAGGGAGTCTGGTGACCAGTGGACTGTTCAGTCTCGTCCGTCATCCAATGTACACAAGTATACTCCTCTGTATATGGAGCAATCCTACTATGGTACAGTATATAGGTAGCTACCAAGTTAATACTGTAGCTCATGTCATGAGAAATTGGCAGTAGCATTGGCACACAATAACAGTATTGTTACAGTAAAGTCACCATTTTGTTGCTAAAATCTCAAATCTATAAACTACAGATCAGCTTCTTATAAACAAGGTTTGATGCTTATTTTTTAGTAAGGCATTTTTTTACTTAACTAGTGTAATCATAGTATTCTCCTGGGCAACTAAGAGTATTTGGAGGACAGATGAGCTTATTCAGAGCCCCATATTTATAGTCAGCTAAACCCAATGACGAAACCCATAATCTAAGTCTGTTCTCTATATATTGTGCTATATACAGAGTCTGGGCAGGATGATGGTGGGAGCTGTCCTGACAGTATACCTGCTGGTGGCAGTTCCACTGTTAGAGGAGCGAGATCTGGTGGAGATGTTTGGAGACAAGTACCGTCACTACATCACCACCACTCCCATGCTCCTCCCCTTCAAACTGTGGACTTCTCCTTCCCTCACTGAGAAAAACAAATCAAACTGAGCTTCGGAGATCCAACTGCAAGAAGAGAACTCTTATAATAACAAATAACACCCAAGCAATTGAATGATGAATGTATACAGTTTTGTTGTGTTTTTTCATGTCTCTCTGAATGACGTATGCAGTGAAGCTTGTTGACATTTTATACAGTAGCGTTTTTGGTATGCAGCGCCTGTACAGATTGACATTGCCCATAATAGAGAGCAAATTCCGTCTCCACCAATACTGCCCGCTATTTTACCAATCTCGAACAAAGTGCTTTTTCCCATTCCTTTGTCACGCAGCATAGCACATTATCTCAAACCCTAACTAGCTAGCTAGTCATGGCGAGACTAATGGTGTCTGGATAAATCTCGCTGCTCTACGAGAAAAAGTCCACCGTGCGGTGGCATTAGCTACTATATACTGGGATGAGAATTCAGTTGGTTGCCTGGTCTCGCTATGCTCGCAATAGCCCTTTTCGTAAGAGGCTGAAATGTGCAATTACGCGTAATTGCTACTGACGTCACCACTGGAGTACATTGACTACATTCCTTCACGTCGGGAGGGGCGTACTGAACGTACTGACCATAAACGCAGAGCTTCAACATGCCTCCACAGTGCTGCCGCTGTAATGGGAAAGGGCGCTGTAAGGGCTGTGTGTGTGCTCGCAGTGGAACAGTCTGTACTAACTGTACGCCGAGTCATATTGGAAGATGCGAGAATTATGGAAAAGCGGCACGTACTGACGAAGACCTTGTTGACAGTGCGGGCAGACCCGATGTCGTGAGCGACCAGCTAGAGAGATCGAATAGCCAACAGACATTAACTCTGACTACTGGACAAGAGATATACGTCGAAAACATGGAAAATGCGCTTCTCCTTGACAACCAAATTTCAAACATGGAACCTGTGTTGCCTTTCCGTGACAACCAAACACCTACCATTGACCTTACCTCATCGCATCAGCAACCTGCTGGTGATAGTGGCAATTACACCGATCCATGGCCACTACCAACGTGTTCACAACCAGATTTTCAATGGGGGCAGCTTGATGGACAGACCTTTTGCAAGATGATAGACACAGCTTACAATGATATCATTCATTGGAAGCGTAATCTCTTCCTTCTTCCATCTGGTGCGGCAGGAAAATCATTCATCCAAGAAATCACTCGTTTGTTACAAGCTTTTGCGAATAGCTCACAACTGGAGTCTATTGCTCTTAAGGCAAGCTTTGTGATGCAAATCCTACTCCTACAAAAACCAAGCAAAAAAAGCAAGAGCAAAGACCACATTTCTCACCTGAAGAGACGGTTGGAGTTATGGAAACAAGGTGATATACCTTTACTCATTCAAGAGGGTAGGTGCATTCAACGTTATCTACATAATCGTCCAAGACCGTCTGATGACAACGCCATTGCACGTAACTTTGGTAAAATGATGGAGCAGGGGAAAGTAAAGAGTGCACTACGTTATCTGTCCCGAAATTCAACTGGAGGTGTTCTAAATCTTGATGACATGATACCATCTGCCTCTTCAGGCTCAGAACCGGTTCTGCGATCCACCCGAGATGTTCTCCAAGACAAACACCCAACCGGAAAACCTCCCGATCCATCATCTCTTCTCACTAGCTCCTCAGAAACCAACATCCTCAATCCAATCCTCTTTGAAAACCTAAATGCGGATACAATTCGCAATGCAGCCATGCACACCCAGGGTTCAGCTGGTCCGTCCGGTCTTGATTCGTTTGCTTGGAGGAGATTGTGTTGCTCTTTTGGCTCTGCGTCTCATGACTTATGCTCTGCTTTAGCTGCAGTTGGTCGTCGTCTTTGCTCCTCATTGGTAAACCCAGAGAGCATCAGTGCTCTTGTTGCTTGCCGTCTCATTCCTCTTGACAAGTGTCCTGGAGTGAGACCAATCGGAGTAGGGGAAGTACCGAGACGCATAATTGCGAAGGCCATTCTACGAACCATCGGAAAGGATATTGAGGAAGCTGCAGGACCTCTGCAAGTATGTGCTGGTCAGGATGGTGGTTGTGAGGCTGCAGTTCATGCTATGCGGGCAATATTCCAGGATGCTGACACTGAAGGTTGCCTGCTGGTTGATGCCTCTAATGCCTTCAACTCTTTGAATCGTAGAGCTGCATTACATAATGTCAGTGTCCTATGCCCACCATTGTCACCTGTCCTGATCAACACCTACAGAGCCCCAGTGAGAATGATTGTTGCCGGTAGCGGTGAAATATCATCTACGGAAGGTACCACTCAAGGCGATCCCCTGGCAATGGCCATGTATGCTCTCGCTACAGTGCCACTGATCCACCTTCTGAGCAACAACTCCCCAGACGTAAAGCAAGCATGGTACGCCGATGACGCAACAGGTGCAGGCTCTTGTGAGAAGCTGAGACATTGGTGGGATGAGATTGTGCGTCTTGGCCCTGCCTATGGCTACCATCCCAACAGCTCAAAAACTTACCTCATTGTAAAAGAGGAACATGAAAGCAAAGCAAAAGAACTCTTTGCCGACACTGATGTTCACATCACCATCAATGGCAAGCGCCATTTAGGGGCCGCAATTGGTGCAAAGTCCTTCACTGAAGAGTATGTCTCCAGGAAAGTAGGTGAATGGGTTAATGAGATCAAGAGTCTGTCAACAATTGCCCTCACCCAACCTCATGCGGCCTACGCTGCTTTCACGCATGGCCTCTCCAGTCACTGGACGTACATCTCAAGGACCATCCCTGAGATACAAGACTTGCTCCAGCCCCTTGAGACAGCTATTCACCAGCATTTCATCCCAGCACTCACTGGCCGAGAAGCTTGCTCTGCTTTGGAACGAGACCTCCTAGCACTTCCCACCAAACTGGGCGGAATGGGACTGGCTAATCCCACGTCCAATTCTTCTCATGCTTTTCAAGCATCTCTACGCATTACAGCTCCACTTGTAGCTCTGATTGCATCACAGGATCTCCACCAGACTGTAGAGAAAGCCGACCAACTAAACATAAAGAAACAAGTGAAGAAGACAAACAGAGAGCTGCAACAAAAACGAGCAAGAGACACAACTGCACAGTTGACACCACAGCTCCAACGGTCAGTGGAATTGGCACAGGAAAAGGGCTCTTCAGCTTGGCTCACTGTCTTACCAATGGCGGAGCATGGATTCCTCCTGCACAAAGGGGAATTTCGTGATGCTGTATGTCTCAGATACGGGTGGAATCTGACCAACGTACCTCGCTCTTGCAATTGTGGCACACCCTTCTCAGTAGATCATGCCATGATCTGTCATATGGGCGGCATACCAACAATCCGCCACAATGAGATTCGTGACATGACGGCCAACCTACTCACAGAAATCTGCCATAATGTTGCAACCGAGCCACTCCTACAACCACTTACCAACGAATCTTTCCCTCACCGCACAGCGAACACTGATGCCAACGCTCGCCTAGATATCCGTGCTCGTGGTTTTTGGAACACTGGCCAAGACGCATTTTTTGATGTTAGGGTTTTCCACCCCAACGCGTCAAGCAACCGTTCGATGACCACTGCAGCAGCATATCGCAAACACGAAACAGCAAAGAAGAGAGAATATGCCCAAAGAGTTCGAGAAGTTGAACATGGGGTTTTTACACCACTTGTCCTCTCAACTACTGGTGGTATGGCACGTGAAGCCACGACATTCTACAAAAGACTGGCTGATGAGTTGTCCCGGAAGCAGGACAAGCAATACTCTCTAGTCATGGGTTGGATTCGCTGCCGCCTATCATTCGCTATACTCCGATCTGCTATCCTCTGCATTCGAGGAAGTAGATCCTCTCGCCACCGCCCAGTCAGTGAGCTCAACATTGAACTTGCCGCTGCAGAGGGACATGTTCCCTCTGATATGTAGTGTTTTTGTTTTGTTTTTTTTTTTGGGTTTTTTTTTCTTCTTTCAAGGTATTACCTGTGGGTAATAATGTTTAGGGTTTTTACAAAGCGCGCAGCGCAATACGCTACCGTATACTACGTACGGTATCTAGCTTATTCCCGTAGACTGCCAATACATACGCTCCTGTGAAACGTGAAGGAATGATGTACTCCGGATGTAAACGGGCAATTAATTACAACGTCACGGCGACGTGATTGCATACCAGTGGCAAAACGATTTCTCACTGGTGCGGGCGGACTTAGGGCTAAACTCCCCCGCGTATCTGTAGCATTCCTTGGATAGCTCTTATATTGCAAACGAAAGTGTGACTCCGTAGCTAGAAAAAGTAAGGGCTTCCGATGGCTGACGAGCAGCCCAACTTGCAGGAACCACCTACGGGGAGAGCGGAGGTGGCTAATGCTTCTTCTATGCAAGAAACCGGCGCCTACTACGCGAGGATGTTCCAGAAACGCATGAAAAGTCTGGAACTAACTTTACAGAATAAAACAAAGAAGACAACTTTGAAGTTTTCCGAGGAATATTTCTCAACTGGCACGTGGTATGAACACTTTTCGCCTGGTGTTATTTTGCATGGAGAATATTCCAAAGCTTTGGTTGCTAACAAGCCAGGGGCCTTAACTGGAGTATCTGGAGGGTTAATGTTCACAATGGAAGTCAGGGACGGTCCCGCAAAGAAGCTATCAAAGAAGTACGTCCTGATTGGTTTTATAAATCCACTATTTGGTACATGCAAGACATTTATTTCAATCAGTGATGAACTGTTTGGAGCAAAATATGCTTTTGACAATGCCAAAGATGACAAGCATAAGCTTCGTACCATTGGAAAATTTGAAGTTGAAGCAATTCTTACTCATCCACAAGAAGGAGGAAATAAGCAGATTGTGTTCACTATCTCTGATGTATGAACACCTTAGCTAGCTAGATGCTAGTATAATATATAGCATGCTTTAGCATTTTATTTTAAACAATTAACATTATGTCAGACTGAGTGTATAGTCACACACAAAATGCACTATTTGAAAGATCTGTGCATTATAAACTGATTTCTCTGGCGACTCTTGAAATTATGCTGTCTTCTTCTTGTTGTCACTGCATTTTTTTGAGGAAAAGATCTGATCGGAGGTTTTTGAACAGTTAAATGCTTGTAATAGTGCTGCTCAGTTTCAATCTTGGGAGGAGGTAGTTTCTCCAGTTCACGTTTTCTAGGAACTCTTTTTGCTGAATTTTGCAACTTTGGCTCTTGCTTTCTTGTCAATTCGTGTCTGCGAGAAATTTTGGGCCTTGGAGACTTTCTCAGGCACGTTTTTTGACAGGGAAAAGAAGATTCAATTGCTCTCCTGTATGCCGAGAAGATAAGTGCGCTTGCTCCCAGGGCCAAGAGGCTTCCAATCCCTGCTCCAATAATGGCTCCCACTCCACAGAAAGCTGAGCCGACAATAGTACATGCCATTATCTTTGTTATCCCCAAGCCCAGTACTGTGCCAATCTTGCAAACTAATGGTACAATTGTTCCACCGATAGATGCATAGGTGAGTGAACCAATTGCATCTCCACCGAAATCACCCATTATAATTCCTATCTCTGATAATGTGCTTTTACCGATTCCTCTGTCTTGTAACATGGCGATAATTATTGGAATGCTATTCAAAGCAATCCCAATGATAAGTCCGCCTGGAAATTTGCTTATCTTTGTGATGAAACGTTTTATCCTGCGAAGAATGTGAGGCAACCCAATATTTCGGAGCAGAGTCTTCAAGAATGGTATAGACGTGTCCCCTTTCATGATCTTGTTGCCAGCCATTGAGGACGCTTTTCCAACATATCTCATTAAATCGTGGGTATAGACATGAGGAAGACGTCTTATAACTTGATTTGCCATTTTTCATATCAGTAGCTAACTTCTGAAATTGAACAAAGCAAACTTAGTTTTTGAAAATGTCTGTGTGCGTAACGTTTTTATGCTTTGTCGTTTCCCCTCTCACACATTAGCTACTCACTTCCTGCATTTTTGTAGCAGGCAAATTCCAGGAAGTCATAACAGTCTCTCTCTGGTCACGGATCACATACACTTTACTCATACTGGTGCATGTATCAACGAACGAAGTGAGGTAGCAAGGCAAAGGCAAAACAAATCAACTACACCCAGGACAGCTCTTTGTTCTAAGGAAAAAGAAGAGCTGCCCTGGGTGGGATTCGAACCCACGACACTCTGCAGTCTAGGCGAGCGCTCTACCAACTGAGATACCAGGACAACTCAGTGTGGTTTTAACCTATCTAACTCTCCTTTTGGAAAACGCTGAATGTGTGAACTATATTTTTTCTTTTAGTTGGAAATTGTCTGGGTAATGAAATCCCAGCATAAGTGAACTGGAATGGGAAACAAATCAAAACTTCTACAGTTTAGCTGTACTTTTGTGGCACACTTCTACGTGTTACCAGTAATTATCAGCGGAGCATTGAACGTTCAGATCCACCACCTCACTTATTGACAATGGTCTTTCTATAAGACACTGTTATTTCTCTTGGACAAAATTACTACTTATTGTAGGTTTTTGAGGGATCCTATGACACATTGAAGGAGTAACTATCCTACACAAACATGCTCATTCCTGCCATGGGTGGCCCAAAGGGCACTGAACTAACAAGTTTGCACAAGTAAGTCCGGAATATGATAAAAATGCTGGAGGAGGGGATCCCACACAAAGTGGGACATTCCACAGTTATCTTGAGACATTGCGGCTGCTCATTGAAGGCGCCATTGTATTATTACACACTGTTCCATGTATACCCTTCCTGTATCGTACTGCAGAACACAAACAACATTGTGCACTTTCGTATGAGGATGAATGACACATTACATATTGAGCTTAGTTTACTCTTGCATCTGCCAGTTACAGAACACTAGTGAAATTACAACTGAGTAGAGCTAGTTTTGTGTGCGTAATTGCGGAAATAAGACGCCAAAGCATGCACCATTTCTGTAATACAAAAGCAGTTGAGAGGGGAAAAAGGTCTGAGGATCTGAGACTATAATATACTCACTCCACAACCATAGTAACGCTAATGGATGGCTTGCGCATAAGTATAAAGTGTTTCAATAAAATATTACAAGGATAGCTAACTATGTATGCAGGACTAAGGACAAGATGCATCATCATGCAGTTACATCTACATCAGGTACATCAGAAACAATAAATATCATCTGTTTGTTTCCTCCCTCACGGGGAGTTGTAAGATTTGCCTCAACTACAAACTCTCCAATGGTATGAAGCTTATGTTTATCATTTTTGGCATTGTCAAAGCCATTCTTCGCTCCAAGATCATCGTCTTTGATTGAAATATAGGTCTTGTAACCACCTACAACTGGATTTGCAAAACCAATTGAAAGGTACTTTCGTGTCCCTTGTACATCCATATTGAACATCAATCCTCCTTTTACACCAGCTAAAACGCCAGGTTTATTTGTAACAAATGCTGTGGAATGTTTCTCTGGTGGTATAACACTCGGTAAAAAATTCTCAAACCACGTCCCTGAAGCAAAGTATTCTTCTGCAAACTTCAAAGTGCCATGTTTTGTTCTATTCCAAACAAGTAACTCCAAACTTCTATAGCGTTTCTGAAACGTCTTCTTGTAGTTATCAGGCATATTCCTGGTGTTAAGTGTGCCAGCATCGTCCATTGACTCCGCCATTATGCCAGGTTAACTGCACACGGTGATACGGTTTTGCGAAATCAAAGGTGCATGCGCTCTGAAACCAATAATTATTGTATTAACCGTGGGTGTGGGGCTGCGACGAGGGGCGGAGGGGACGTAACAAATCAAGCAGCTAAAGAGTAGTCAAGCTCGGCAAGAGCAGCGATAGAATTATGGAGTGGAATTAGTGCCAGTATTCATCACGCGGCAAAGTAACATCCGGGACATTTTCCGGCGGCACCACAGAAAGTACCATTATCTGTCACGGTTGCTGCGGCAATTGCCCCGGCAAGCTTCGCGGCAATTGCCCCGGCAACGCCCCCAAGAGGCTCAGCCCCCCATAGCCGCCCATTTGCGCACGCGCGCCCTGGCTGACTTAGCATGCATTATCGCAGTCGTGGAAAATCGCCCTTTTAGTTTTCAGGCTCCCGTAGTTCTGAAGCCGCTGGTATCACTAATAGACCGCCTCGTAGCCTGAATAAGCGTCGACACACACACAGACAGACACACAGACACAGACGGACTAACCTTCGCTGCGCAGGGTTTAAAGGGAACTCTAGCCACTTCATCATTTTGAAGAGAACCTTGTTAAAAAACTTTATAGTGAACATAATATTATATATTATTATAAAACGAATCTTTTCACTTCAGACAATGTGAAAATGGCCGTGGTAATGCGTAGCTACTGTTAGTTCAAAACTTTGGACAATTAACCAAAACCAAGGCAAGACAAAGACAAACACAAAACAAAGTATTATAGTCTCGCGTATAGTAAATCCTAGACCCCCAATAGGAGGTTGCGTTGTGCACGTGTCACAACCTCCTCCACGCCGCCCCTGCTGTTAATGTTTGTCCGTCCGGGATCCGGGCTCTGCAGCGGAAAGGATTACCACGACAAATTCGACCCTTACGTTTTCCTCCGGCAGTATTACGGGTGAGTTTATAATATCCAGCACATGCTTCGCTGCTACCACAGTGCGTTTGAATCTTTGCCGGGCAATATCACTGTCCTAGACTTTGGCTCTGGGCCATCTCTGAAAGCAACAATATCAGCAGCCACAAAGGCGTCCGAAATGACCCTATCAGACTACTCCCCTACAAACCGCCTCTCTCTGATTGGCTAGGAAACAAGCAGGGGTATGCGTTTGATTGGGGTCCTCTTTTAGTTACGTGGTGCCGGAACTGGAGGGAAAGGGGGAAGATGAGGTGGCGAACACAACACATGGTCAACATTTCCACTAGTAAATTGAGTTGGTGGAAAATAGTGCAGGTGCTAGTCTGAGGAGAGATGGAGCTGAATACTAGGCCTCCAACTCCATACTTCAGGCATTCATCGTATATGCTGATCATGCGCAGGTAAAGCTGCGCAAGCGCTTGGAAACCAATTATAGTGGGTGGGGCTGCGACTCCGGAAGACGGCAGTCAGAGCCCTGGTCTGGTTAGAGCGAGCCATGGTAGCGACACGTGCTTGTGCTGAATTGCTGTCGGGAGTAGTAGGGGTCGTGGTCGGAATATCAGCCATGATATACGTGAGCAGCCATCATTATTCAAACCTGTGTCCATAATGTATGTTGTCGGGTCGGAGGCCAGCTTCGCGAGCGTGACTAGATACCGTACATTGTGCCTGAGCAAGCCAGTACCGAAGTTTTCAATGGAGATAGAAGGTTATAAAGTTATGATTTTGGTAGGCATGTGAAACTCATTTGTTGGTAGCTTACAAACATAATGTGTCGGTACAGATGGGATTGTTCTATGGTGGAGTTCTGGAGTCATTTGGTATTGACGTGGTCTCAACATGGCACCGTCCTGGACTTCTTCATTCCTCTCCTCTGCTCAACAACTCCCTCCTCCTACTCATCTTCTGCCTCGCTCACAGGTAGAATACCATTCCTGTGGTATTAGCTAATTAGTCAGACATCGTTATGGGCTTGCTGATTTTTTTGGGTGTAATTATGGGAATTTTGTTTTTTACACCGTTAACCCAGTATCTATCACTAGTATAATTGAACACTCTCTATTGTACCCCTGAATATGGCAATTGCTTTAATTAACTTTGTTTATTTTGGTGGCGTTAAAGGTTATACTGCGCGTCAATGGAAATACGCGATTTAGACGGCACGAGGGGCCCTGAGCTGTAGCTGTCTGAGCGCAGCGAAGACGCTACTAAGGGCTCCGAGGCCGTATAAATCGTGTATTTCCATTGACAAGCAGTATAACCTGTTTAGACGGAGGCCGTGCCAGCCTTCAAAATCATCCAGGTCCGCCCTTGCCGGGGGAAGCTAAAAAGGTCTTCAGTTTAGTTTCTTTTTGCATCTTAGAGAGGCCTTTCATCGAAGAAACATCGGCTATAGCGAGTTTGAAGTCGTCGCGGCGAGCTCTCAGCGACAGAGCGAGTTTCTTTGCGCGAAAGGTTGCCACACCCCCATCGAAGACGCCATTTTTTGGCGGGCGTCTCCATGGAAACACGCACTAGAATCCACGTTTAACGCAATCTGATTGGTCAATTTCAATCTGCCGACGTCTAACTACAGTTGTTCCTACCATGCATCCATACCAGGACTGGGTACTGGTGTTTACTAGGTAGCAACTCGTAATGCATGGCGTTGGGCTTTTTGTTGTTGTTCTCACTCCCTGCTCCTGCCATTACTTTTCACTCTATATTATTTCTCATCTCTCTCTCCCCCTGGCAGTGTGTTGGCGAGACAGAGTGTGAAGAGAGTCATGTCGTGTCTCATGTCGACCTCAGTCTACCGCCATCTCTACTTCCTCCAGAGCTCTCTCTCCATCTTCCTCATCTGCTACGGCTGGACTCCCATCCCCTCTCCCACTCTCTGGGATATTCACTCACCTCTCTTCAGACTGGCTCTATATGGTCTGTGTAATATCATCAATTATTTTTGTATAACGTTTGAGCTCGTAATAACATACTGCATAATTATGTAGGCTTGAATACAGTTGTATCTGTGCTGCCTACTCCAGCTATAAAGTCAATATGTTAAACTACTAGTAGGCGAATGCATGGCATTTTTGGCGAGCGGGAGCGAGCACATAATGACTATCTGCACGAACCAACCTAGCAGCGTGTAAAAGCGCGTTATCCTGACGCATGCGTGTTATTGCCTCTCGCATGCTATCTAGTAGTGTAGTTAGACTCTGCGTGAGCTGGAAAGAGACCACGAGTAACAGCTATAACTAAACCCAGCCCATCAACCTAGGCTACTTGAGCGAGCACACAATGATTATATCCGCACGAGCCAACCTAGGCTACTTACAACTTTCAGCTTGAAACCACGAAGATTGGAAGCCTCGGTAAGGCCAAAGAGTGTAGCGAATGCCGCCGAATGGACGAGAGTTCTCTCCCTGGCTCGGCATCAAGCGTGTAAAAAGTTTAAAAATTATTTCGGATAAAAAGAAGCGCGTAAATCTTACGCATGCGCACTTGCACGACGTACGAACGGTCGTATATAGAAAAATCGCGCCTTTCTTACCACTAGGTTAGCTCGCTCCCGCTCGCCAATTATTCACTGGTAATATTGTACTAGTGGAAATGTTGAACATTGTTGGCGAGCGGGAGCGACCCAACTTGGGATTTGACCGCGATGTTCGGGCTGCATAACGTGCCGTCAGCGCACAGCTTTCTTTTCGTGAAGCAAGACAGATCTACCTGTCGCCGTTACATGCGTACTGTATATTGCCAGAACGGTGAGCAGGTGAGCAGAACGGTACTTACCTTACACTTTCAGCTCGGTCCACCTGGCAACTGGCATGCAGCAGTATGTGCACGAGCAATCCTAGCGTATTATGCAAGTTGCACCTTGGAACCATGAAGATTGGGAAGAGGTATATACAGTCACCGTCCGTCGAATGGAGGAGAGTTGAAATAATTTCGGATAAAAAGAAGCGCGTACAAATACGCGCATGCGAACTTACACGACGTACGAACGCATATATATTATTATCGAAGAAACATCGAACGAACGACTAGGTTGGCTCGCTCCCGCTCGCCAATAATCCAAGACCTTTCTCATATCACCATCAATGCTAGCCATAAACGTACATAGAGCTGTATTTTCTGCCGACAACACACACAAAGCGTTGTTTGAATTTTCTCGGTTTTGAAGTAAGCATCTTAAACCTGTGTGGAGTACTCATTCGACTGTACTGAACCTTCTCTATCTCATTGATGCTGTGTCTACAGGAGTCGGTTCACTTGGTGTGGTGATTAATATGGTGGCCTTCTTGTCTCTTCCTGTGCTGGAGTTCATTGGCATCAGTGAACCTCTGGAGAGACTGACTGGGAGAAAGTATGGACTATAATTTAACAGTACAGTACACACAGGTTTAAATGGTCCAGAAAGTTCTCTCTAAATCCTCAGCAGTTTCTTGCAATTGAGAATGTGTGTATATATTACTTGGTGTTGATGTATTGTATATAGGAGAGAGGGAGGGAGTCTGGTGACCAGTGGACTGTTCAGTCTCGTCCGTCATCCAATGTACACAAGTATACTCCTCTGTATATGGAGCAATCCTACTATGGTACAGTATAATTATAGGTAGCTACCAAGTTAATACTGTAACTGATGTCATGAGAAATTGGCAGTAGCATTGGCACACAATAACAGTAAAAAGTCACCATTTTGTTGCTAAAATCTCAAATCTAAAAACTACAGATCAGATTATGCTTAATTTTTAGTAAGCCATTATTCTACTTAACTAGCGTAATCATAGTATTCTCCTGGGCAACTAAGAGTATTTGGAGGACTATTCAGAGCCCTATTTTATTCAGCTAAACCCAATGACGAAAGCCAAAATCTATATCTGTTCTCTATACTATTGTGCTATATACAGAGTCTGGGCAGGTTGATGGTGGGAGGTGTCCTGACAGTATACCTGCTGGTGGCAGTTCCACTGTTAGAGGAGCGAGATCTGGTGGAGATGTTTGGAGACAAGTACCGTCACTACATCACCACCACTCCCATGCTCCTCCCCTTCAAACTGTGGACTTCTCCTTCCCTCACTGAGAAAGACAAATCAAACTGAGCTCTCTAAAGATAGTGATGTCAACTGGTAGCTAGTGCCACTACATTGTTACTCCATAGTATATACATCCTTTCTCTTGAAACATAATATTGTTGTGGAGCTATGAAATCTCTTGAAATGACCTGGTGGGAGCCCCTGGCAGAAAAATAGCAGTTAGAACATACACACTTGTGGCAAAGTATAAGTTGAGGAATATGGAAGAGACGAAAACGGTGGGGGGGGGGGGGGCACAGGTGTACCGGCCAGCCATGCGCAACTATATATGAACAGGAGTTTCACTCGACCGTTGTGCTCATTTCCACTGAGCCATCTCTCCAGATCTCACTGGAAACCCTTACATGACAATCTATAGCACCCAAGTAAGGCAAGCCATTGATTATATACGGACAGTGAATGTATTGTATTGCGAGCAGGACAAGTCTAAGCCTGATATCTTCGCTGAGATCGCCCACGCACAATAATTCCGCGCATGCTCGATCACGCGTACTACCGGTGTTCAAGCGCATGCGCGCGCAGACTGAGCCAGCAGTGTCGTGTGCGGCTTACATATAAATCTGACTACAAACAAAACTTGCTAGTCCGTCGGACGTGTATATTGCATGCAGTTTATCATGGCGACGTCAGGAGAACCGGATGAGGAAAAAATGAGCCAGGAAAAGCTGAGAAACGAGATCATGAAGGGGGTCTCCGATGCTGAACGTTTTCGGCGATACAAAAGAAGCCTGGAGTTGACTATACACAATAATACGAAAGGGGCTACATTTAAGTTTGAAGAGCAACATTTTGGTTCCGGTACATGGTTTGAGAGTTTTACATCAAGTGTTGTGGCACCAGGAGAATTTTCCAAGGCGCTTGTTGCAAACAGAACTGGTGCAATCGCTGGGGTTGCCGGAGGATTGAGGTTCAGCATTGAAAGCAAAGGAAAAGAGAAGTGTTATCTCATAATTGGCTTCAAAAATCCTTTCGTTGGAAGCTACAAGACATACATTTCAGTTGAGGAGAAGCCAAAAGATGCAAAGAGTGGAACCAAGAATGCAAAAACTGATCATCATAAACTTTTTACAGTTTATCAAGGTTATGAAGTCGAGGCAAAGCTTACAACTCCAGCTGCAGGAGGAAACAAGCATTTCCTATTTACCATATCTGATTTACCTTTGTAAGCTGGAAAACACCTTTCTAAAAAATAAGAATTTGCAAAATCTTGCAAATTCTGATTATTATTATTATATATTATAACTTTTATATACAAGGACTGTTGAAAACATTCCTGCTGTTATAAACATGTGATTAACTTTCTAAGTCAACAGTTCTTTTTAAATTGCTGTTCCATTTCACTCTTTACACACAGTCTCTCCAGCTCTCTTTTTGTAAGAAGTCTCTCTAGCTCTTGTTTAGTCTTCAGCTCTTGCTTCATAAGAGGCCTCCTTAGCTCTCTTGCAGGAAACCCTTCCAAATCTTTTTTAAAACGAAGTTTGTCTTCTAGTTCTCTTCTTGTTGGAATGCCCTCTTTGTTTTGCTTTGTCATGAAAAGCCGCTCTAGTTCTTGTTTTTTTAGGGAGTACCTCTGTTGTAGATTCAAACTGAATGGGATTAGTGGTACAAATAAACTTCCAAA